TTCTGAATTCTTAAGTGTGACAAATACATAGAAAAAATAGGGAATCATCAAAGGCACAACCACTTTTTCACACCATTGTACATGTGTAAAAGTTTGCCATATTCACTTAGCACAGAATCCTGTAATACTGAAATAGGACATTGATCTGCTTTGTCAGGTCTATTACAAGGCTGCACATGTGCTAGCATAAATGAACAAAGGCAAGGCAGAAAATTGATGTTCTGTCATTCTGTGTCTAATCTAGACAGAGGAGGGGTGAATAACTGATTAGATGCAGTAAGATATCAATTCAACCCAAAAGTGTCTGTGGATATACGAATGAGGATGGACACGGTTTACAGAGGGTTTATAGCACAGACATGTCAAAACACAGTAGAAATACGGCCTGCTTTAGTTACAGCAGAAGCACATCAAATTAAACAAGACATCCAGAAACAAAGGCCTAAGAGTTCAATTTATAATTTCAAGACAGGGTGAGGTTACTGTTCTGTTTTATAAATGGACTGAATTTAAGTTGCAACTGTACTTCTTAAATTCTTCAAGGTTTGCAGTAAGATGCTGCAGATCTACTACAGTTTGTTGTTAAGAGCATCACCTCTTCTGCTTCATCTATGGCGGCAGCAGCATCAGAGCCAGGGACCTAAAAAGACCCAACAGCCTCATAAAGAAAGCTGATTCTGTTGATGTTCCAGCTGATTCTGGAAATGACTGTGGAACCTCTGGAGACAATAATGTAAAGAAGGACTCTTCATAAAATCAAGTAAATGATGGACAATCATAATCATCCTCTTCATGCGACTGTTTTGGCAAAACAGAGCATTTTCAGTCAGAGGCTTCTTCAAATTTGCTGTTTCCTGCCAACAATCAACACCATCTAAAATAACTATAAGAATTTTAATATGAGTTACATTATATTTCTCTTTCAAAAAAGTATTTTTTAATTTCTAAATTCTTGTGCAACCCTTTTAGAACTTCTTTTTTTTCTTTTCTTTTTTTATCTTTCCTGGGATAAAATGGACATGCTGTTATTTTAGCCTGAACCCAGCATGCTTCCATTGCAGGAATACCAAAGGGATTGAAAATATTCAGTCTGTCAAAAATAAAAGGGAACATGAAGGGTCAAAAATTAAAACTGACATTAAACTCAACTATAAAGCCCCCTCAAGACATCTATTCCCAAAAGGTTGGAAATCATTCAAATATAAACAGCTTTCTGATGTTGGTCTACTGAGTTATTCCCATACTTTAGGTGGGCTGAAGTATGCAAATAATACTTAGGCTATATATGATAAACTTGATGTAAGCACCAAAACAATCATAAAATGAAAGTGTGTCTTTCTAGACATTGTTTGCATGGACACAGTCAGATTTCCCAGTAGAAACCCTGAGGGCTTTCTCTTTGCTGGAGAATCGCCTGACCCCCTTCTTCTATCCCTACATCCCTCATCCCATCCTTCTCAGTGACCCCTGGGGAAGATTCAGTTTTAGGGGCCAAATTCCAGCTTGGCCTCTCAGGACTGTCTACCTCCCTTTGCTCTTGTTTTGCTTTGCTGGAAAGATAGCTGCAGGCAGTAAAGCAGACTGTCAAGCAACAAAGAAAACATTCAAATAAGACAATCAAATTGATGGTATTCATGAGCTGCACTCTACACCTTTACAGAAACCTAATGAAAGAGCATGATGTAGTAAGCACAACCAGCAGACTTTATTGACAAATAAAGAGCATTAGCCTTACTCTGGCTTTGATTGAGGCTTCATCATTTGTCATTCACTTGAGTGCTTTGGGTAAGTCTCAATCTAAACTTACTCAAGAGGCTGTAGTCAGGACTGGGAAACAACATCCACTGGTCAATCCACACAGACAGAGGTCAATATTTCCCTCATGACTAAAGTCCTTTTGCGTATGACCGATGTACATGGCTTGGTATTGACACGTGCTGGCTCCATGTTCTAAGAGTCATCTGTTTTATTTGATTTACATTATTCCTATGATTTCTCTGACCAACCCAACAGCCGGGTTCATGTAGAGCATGGGCAGGGTTTTTCCATACTCTCAGTTGTCCAGGTATGTGTAATAAAATCCTGCTTTCTGTTTTGAAAACCCTGGGAGTTCCAGTCATTTTCACATTTGAGGTTTTCCTCCCTGCTCCCCTTTCCCTCTCAGACTTTTGCACTCCAGTGTAAGGAATAGTCTACCCAAGGCTACCTAGTTTAATTTCCAGACCATTCAAAAAGCAAAATAAACATGTTTGAAAAGGTAGGGAACACCCAGCAACTTTACCACTTTATGCAAAGAAGGAAAAGAGTTGTGCTTACCTATGTGTCTATAGCAAATATTTTTAGAACATGTTTTCAATCAGTTCAACAAATATAACAAAAAATATATTGACATTGGACAAAGGCATTTATTTTCCACCGTCATTGCCACTGGAAGAGCTCAGCAATAAATATGCACAGGCATTTATTAAAGCTGAGCTTTAGGAAAAACAGAAGACAACTACTAATATCTTGGTTTTTTTGCACACAATGCAGGTGTGCAAAAAAGAACAGGTTAAACACCATAAATATAGCCTCACTGCTAAAAAGACTCAAATACCTAACCATAAAAAATATAACTGAGGTCATTTTCATAAATAAAATAAAAAGTTATCTACTTGGGATTCAACTGTAAAAGGTTTTCAATGCTTTATTTTTTTTTTAAAGTTTAATACAATTTGTATTGTGCTATTGATATTGGTTTGTTCCATCTGTTTAGCTACATCATAAAACCTGCCTGTTATTTTTCTAACTGCAGTTTGCACAGGATGGGCCCTTTTCTTCTTTTATTTCTCCACAACCTTATTGGGGGAAGGTTTGGAAAACTCTTTACGAGTAACAAGGAAAATATGACACAGCAATATACTAGTAAATAGCATAGTTCTCATCCTTACTACTTTTCTGGCAATCGTATTAAAATTCTGGAGCCATGGGTATCATGTCATCCCAGCAATCTGTTGAACTTCACAACAAAAATAAGATGAAATACAGAAAAAAACCAGCAGACACAGTAATCTATAATCTACTTAAATCATGTTGCACATATTAAACACACACAACAATTGTAACAGTCTGGAATACAGAAGATGACAAAAATGAGCAAATGCCAGAATTCCCCCTCCCAAAGTCTTTTATCTTGAAAAAGCCTTCTTCTAATCTTTAAAACGTCCATCTGTGATATTTGGCTTGAAAACAAGCTCTTGGGCTGGCCGTTCCTGAGTGACTCCCGCTCCACATGTGTCACTAAGCAGAATAAATTAACAGCTGTAACTGCTCTCAAACACCTGCAAAAACAATCCAGGGTGTAGCAGGTTAGCAAGCAGTTCCTCTCTTTCTTTCTTGTAATCCGATCCAGCCTCTCCTCTGAGTTCTCAGAGCCGCAGCAGAGGCATGGAAAAGACACAGTGAGAAGCTGCTCACTTCTTAGACTGGACAAAACCGTAACTAAAGATGAAATGCGAGGTTTTGCAAACTAATTTCTCCCTTTAGAGCTCATTTGAAGCACTGAGAACCCTCAACATGTCTGTCAGGGGTTAGTCATCTAAAGTTGATTATATCTGTTAAAATAGTATGTTTTATAATGCTAAAATCCAGCAATCAATAAGTTTGTATACCAAGCAATGCAAAGCTACAGTCCTGCAAGCCAACAAAAGCAAATGGCAGAGTTTTTTCCCCACATGGTTTGTAGAGACTAGACCCAACCCTAACTAATTTACTAAAGCGTATAACTTTCCTTTCAGTGATGTCACCACTAATCTGTGCCACTTACAAAGAAAAACATGGAACTCTAATCACCATTAAAGAGCTACCCAGACTTACATTAGGCTGAATGCCAGAGGGTCATATAGCTGTGAGAGGTTTAAACATATCAGAGGATTCAAAGTTACATGCAATACCTCAAAGGGAAATTACTTCTGTGACGCAGTTTGGAAAGTTCAGTAAATCAGGAAAACATGTAGCAGCAATTGTCAAAGGATGTGATCGACACAGCATGCAGAGGTTGGCAACCTCCAACAGCATGATTCACCTTTTGTTTGCAGGTGGCTGGGTTAATTCTGTATTGAAGCCTTTTTTTTTTGTCAAGTGTTGACATTAGTTTGTCACCTGCCACCTGTTTTTGGCCAGCTCCTTAATCCTTCAACCGATACCCGACCCTGTTCAGGAACTGCAGTGTGTGTTGAGAGTGTGTGTCTGGTGTGCATGTATGAGAGAGAGCATGTCCAGCTTGTTACTGCACAAAGCAGTGTGCTATTCAGACGCACAATGGAGTAATTATTCTCAAAAGCACCGCAGAGCAACTGTGGAGCTGGCAAATATGCAGAAATGTCTCACTGAGTCTTGGCAAGAAAAAACAATTTAGATAACATTGTTTATAATAGTACATGCACATTGCACACACTTTTTTCAGGAAAGTATTCAAACCCCCTTACACGTTCTCTCACATCACAACCTCAAACTTCAATGTATTTCTGAGGAATTTCATGTAACAGATAAATAAAAAGAGGTGTCTAATTGTGAAATGGTAGAACAATGAATGCATTTTTCTATTTCTATGGAAATTGTATTCAGACCTTTTGTAGAATCACCATTGGCTGCAAAAACTTTGCATTTATAGAGACAGAAAATTTGACCAATTTAGCTTAATGGTTGGAAGAAAAACTCTAGACATCAATTTTGAAGACAAAGATTCTTAACTGGATTTTGGTTTGGACTTAGACTGGGTCATTAACCCCAATCTTAAGTCTTTGGCAATCCATTGTTAGTTTTCTGCTAGTCACAGCATTTTAATGTGGGCCAAAAGTTGAATATGTCTTAAAGGGTCCAATTGATTTGTCTAGACTCTAGAGCACCCACTTCCATGTGTTTTCTGCATCCCCTACATAACTTGCGACAAACTTTAAACTGAATCTATAATAGTTCACTTTCCAACATAGTTGTAATAGTGATAAAGAAGGCATACTCACTGTATTCTCTCTGAATCACTTCCTTTGTCTGCAGGGTGTAAAATGCAGCGCATCAACATTAGCTGGATGTGTCACAGCTATGGCTCTAAATGCCCTCTGTTGCACCTATAAAGAAAAAGCAAGAAACATGTGAAACCCATTTTATGGTCTGTCATCATGGAGCTGAGAAGCAGGGATTTAAAAAGAGGACATAAATTGATTTCATCTGTTTCCCTCTTTTCTCATGGTCTGAGTGGCACCCGTTGTCACTTGCTATTTACTGGACGAGTGTGAGGTTCCCTTGTGGGATCAGACACAGCCCATTAATGATTTATAGTAGAACCGACACGCTGAAAACTACAGAACAAAGCTTTTTGTTCAGGTTTTTTTTCCTATGTGAAAAAAAATAAACTGTTAAAGGGAGTTCATTATATATTTTGATTAAAGTGAAACAAAGAACCTCTTGATCATGCCCAAATAAAGAATTCGGAAAATTCAATATGATTATTGAACTTAATTGAGGCAAAATTAAAGAATGCTAACTTGGCCAGATTGTTGGAAAGTGTTGAATCCTGACTTCACCTTTTTTCCAAAACAGCTGATTTGTTCTGTAATTCCAGGTGGTCTCCCAGACCAGTTTTTTTTTTTTTTTTTAAAGCAAAGAACATAATTATGAGCTGCCATTCTGCCTGAACTTTGTGTGCATCAGGGAGACGCAGCGCGCAAATGCAATACAGATTGACCCACACTTGATGGAATAATGCATTTCTCCATTTATCTCAGTTTTCACTTTGACAGACACACTTGCACACACACTTCCCGGCTGCCTTTTATTGTCCAGGAGCGCAGATGGCGATGCAGTGCAAACTTTTAGCACACAGATTCTTAACATTCCTGCTGGGTGTGAGTTACTTTCCAACAGAAACTGATGCTTGGCTTCATCTCTCTTTGCTCTGCGGCCAGCAAGTCACGGTCGCAGAAGGAGTCTGTGTGAGCCTCCTGCAAGCATCGTTTTCCGTCAAAAGTACAGGAGTTCTGCTTGTCCAAGCTCTACGTTTGTTCGGATCCCTGAGAAGGCACCGGGTAAAAACATTCAACTTGGGTCTGAGTCAGCATATTTATATGTTTATGGAGGTTCTTGTAGCAGCAAGCTCATTGCTTAATGGAAAAGGAATTCTAATTAAACAACCAAGTGTGGCAGGTACCTGTTGAAATAAAGGGTGGAGATGGGCGGTAATCAGGTACTCCATGTCCACCTCTGGAATCCCACAGGGCTCCTTGATTGAGAAGTATTGACTTGTATGAAGTGAAAGAACAAACTGATCCATTATGAGGTGTTCATGGCTCTGTTTTCATTGTGGAACTATTTTCTGACAGGCTGAAGTAGAGGAATGACCTCAATTTAAGATTTAGCATATAAAAGTGTCGGAACATTTTCATAGGCTTTTTTAATTTTAAAAGTCGTGTTAATTGTTAGGTCAAGTTACTTATAACATCAGAATAGACAAAGAAGAAAGGAAGTGACACAGTGAAAAGGAAGAAGAAAGGATAGAAACAAGTTTAGAAACATCAAAGATCCAAATAAAGGAAATGCAAGGATGATGACAAATAAAAAAGGAAATTAAAGAAGAAATGATGGAGGGACAAAGGACATGAGAAAGGAAGAAAGAAAGGTCAAGGTATAAAAAAGAGGAAATACAACAAGAAAAGAAAGGAGGTAGGATACAAGTGAGGAAGGACAGGAGCTTGCAGGATACAAGGAAGGAAGGGCACTCAAGATAGAAAGAAGAAGGTTGGGCATAATTGAGGAAAAGGGGAATGACACAAGGAAGGATAGAAAGAGCTGAAGTAAGGACACAACCTTAAACTATGGAATGAGAAAAAAAATCTGAAAACTATTTTCTTTTTTCATTCTTATCCAGACTTGGAAAATGCTGAAATCAATAACTAGACTCTTCAAGCATGCATAGGAACTCCGTTAGTCTGATAAAATGGTTAACTTGTCAAAAATGAAGGTCTCTGGAGCTACTCAGATGCAACTAAATCTTCTGCGTCTTTATAAAATGCACCGCACTCTGTCAGAATCTTGTTCATTTGCAGCGCTCCAGTCAGCAGACAGACTCTCTGTCTGGACAGAAACTCTAGAGGGGAATACAGGATTTTATTAAAGTCGCCGTGGTTTATTTTACATAGCTTATCAAGGCACTCGGCACACAGTCAATTAGTTCACCACTTACGGTACAAATTGACGCAACTACAGCATTGCAATCTCAGAATAAACACACACACTTCCTTATACTACCTCCAGTGACGGAGAATAAACACAGTCTGGGCTGATCAATGCAGCTTTTGGGTTTGGGTTTCATATTCTTCACAATATTATTGGTGTGTAGAATCATGCGAAAGTACACAACATTACAAGCTTTATCAATACATCTCAGTTCATGCCATCACTAAGCCTCTGTGTATTTATACATTTTATGCAGTTGATCTTAAACAAATTGATTTCACTCAGAGGGTGAGGCAAGAAAAAAAATCCATCAAAAAGCAGCATCTGAAGTCTTTTTGGTGTTTTCTCTAAAAGAAAGAAAGAGAGAAAGGAAGAAATTGATTTGGAAGAGGCTTGTGTGTCCACTGACCATATCTCAGAAATATGGAGACCAAATTTCAAACTAAGGTCTATTTCTTCCATTTGGACATTAAAGCAACCCCTTTTTTTTATTTTATGTACTTCGATCTCCCATCAAAGGACAGAAAACTCATCCTGTATCGTTTTCTTCTCCGCTCCTCTCCTTCTCTGACAACAGGATGCCTGCTTTCTCTCAAACAGTCGCTGACCCCAGTGCCAAAGAGCCGAGCAGCTCACAGCTTTAAGCAATTCCCGCACTTGTCTCTCATCGGCAGATGAAACAGCCAGTGGGGTCTCTCTCCATACATGTGCTTGTTGAATTAAAGAGGCACAGAAGTGAGACGATTAAATGTAAGTGGAACAAGATCAACTTGTATTTCACTGCCTTTGCTGAGGGGATTTTGGTTGTTACAACAAAAAACTATTTAGCATTAATTTCTTGAAATTAATCTTCTTCTTCTTGAATGGGATCAGACAACTTCATGACCGTTTCTTTGTATGTTTGTCCTTAAAAACATACAACCGCTACACAGAATGCAATTTACTGACAAGAGGAACACAAATCAGTTTGTGCTGCCGATTTCTTATCTGATCTTTCTCAACCTGTGATAATCAACTTTCACCAATTTAATTTTTTTTTGAAAGAAAACAACCAAAAAATATATATCTAAGTACCGGCACTAAAAAGAAGCACCACAACTTCCCTCCCATTATTGTTATTTTCTGATGGCACTTATGGTTTGGAAAACATTTGCTAAAAATCTGCTGATTTTAGCTAATTACTCACTGCTTCTCAATGAATAATATTAGGACTGAATGCAAAGTGGCAGACACATAGAAAGAGGCCTTTAGGATGCTGAACTCTCAGTATACCTCAGTATGAAATGATCTTTCAGGGTGTGCTGATTGAAGAGGATAAACCAAAGGAAGTACAGTATATGAAAGGCTATAATGGTCTGCCAGCTGGAAAAGACATTAAGTAATATGTCTGGTACTGAACTCTTGTCCATCTGTGTCTCGCCACACTAATGTTTCTGTCCATTATCACTATGATCGCATTACATGAGAATGATTTTACAAACTTAACTTTTTAGGGCCTCCTTATGGAGTTTTAACCCACTTCTTAGTTAAAAAGCATCACTTTTATACATGTGATCAACACTTGTTCAGACCTTGAAAACTGCTTCTTTCTAGTTTGTTAATATGCAGCAAATCATCTCTGCCTGGATTGGCTGAAGGTGCTTCCTGCAATTATAGGGGAGGAAACCAGGGTGAGAGGTCAGAGCATGCTAAGTTTAGCCCCGTGGACAAGCCCAGACACAGGCGGGTTATCTTCCAAGATAAAGAGTAGTTGTTTTTAAGCATTTGTCCACGTCAGGAAGTGAATCTTTGTGAGGGTGTTTATGTGAGTAAGAGGCCCCAAGGAATAGTACGCCCAAAGAGGAGCAGGTACTTTTCTACAGGTGTAGTTTAATTAAAAACCAACAATGTCTTGAACTTTATCACATTTTTTTAGGTTAGTCAAAAACTTCAAATTTGATAGACCAAGACAATGTTACAAAGAGTAAACGCAAGTATTTTTGTCTTATTTACAAATAATGAGAAGTGTGCAATGCATTTGTATTCTGTGCTCTTGAGAAAACACTTCTAAGAGTCACTTTTAGCTGCAATTACAACTGCAAGTTTTTGGGGTGGTATGTCTCAGTCAGCTTTGCAGATTTAAAGAGTTTGAACACAATTTTCTTTAAGGTTTTTTTTGGGGGGGGTCAGATTCTCCAGTAGAAACAAATCTGTACTTTACCTAGATCATGTCATCACGCCAGACTAATTTGACCAGTTTAGCCATAGTAACATTCTAGTTGTATAATGTTCATGGCTCGCCTTGCTGGAAGGTGAATTTCATTCCCAGCCTGCTATTAGAGGGTTTTCAACCCTCTAATAGCACCTTTCTCCCAGGATCACCCTCTATGATGCTGCCACTGGTTCAGCTGCAACATGGCATATGTAATGTATGTTTTCCATCACACATGCCATGTTGCAGCTGAACCAGACTTTCTTGACTTTCTATAGATATCGAAATGCATAAAAATAAAACTGTCATTAGACTTAACTACTTAGTATCTATTACATAAAATCAAAATGATAAAACATAATGAAGTTTGCAGTTGTAATGTGACCAAATGTGAACAATTTATTCAACATGAGATGCAGAAATGTTATGTTTCAGCTTCTGACGGTTTTAGGACCATGCCTACAAGTAGACCTGTTCAGTGCTGAGCACACTGAAGTATTTGAGGTTAGGAGTCTGCGGTAGACCACAAAGAGTTTCCTTGCCAGGCACCCTCACTTGACGTGCCATCCTAATAGTGTAAGCCAAAAGTGTGGGTGTTACCCCAAGCATTACAAGCTCCGAGCCAAGAGCTGGGCGGAGGTGCGCTCTCTTTCTCAGTGTTTTATTAACATTGTATCCAAAACACTAAGCTGTGATCCAACAAGCTTCCCCAAGCTTTGGGGTTTGACTGTTGCTGATGGATTCAGTCAACACCTCACACCTTGGAGGTGGAAGCAGGTTACATGTTGCCTCTTCTGGGATCAGAGAAGCTGATGTTACCCACCATGCATCAGGTTCGGTTTGCTGCCTTGCAGAAAACAGATTTTATGTCCTGCATTTGACAAATGTTTTTGAGTAACTTGGTGAAATTAAACAGAAGTGATAAGCAAGCACAGGCATCGTGTTATCAGATTCGTATCTCAGAGGCAATAAACCAGCTTCAGATCAAATGTCTGCAGGTACAGTTCGTCTGGTCTCTCAATAAGAGTTGAAACAATAAATGGACAAAATGTAAGTTAAAAACACTTAAAAAGACCATGTGCAGCGTTTCTAGCCATCGTGTAAAAGACTCAAGATCTAACATGAGCATGGTGGCAGATCCAATTAATAGCAAGATTAAGTTATCTTAATTATGACTCCAACGCGCTGATTGGCATAATTCTGCGCAACAAGACGAGAACACCACTGAGTGACAAGCGTCCTCTTCCTCGCGGATTGATAACAGCGTGCGGAATCCCATTGATCAGCTGCTGCCAGCTCCTCAGCTGAATCCTAATGAGCAGCACCGAAACCAAACTCCGGCCAGCTTTCCGTTTTCACCGGAGAAAGCTACAAAGACAGCCGCGCTCCTTTACCTTCTCCTGTTTGCTCGAAACTCCGCTCGGTCAGACCCAGCTTCACTCCGACCGGATCCTCGGTTTCCTTTCATTTGCGCGTGCTTTTCTGTCTCGCAACAGTTTTCCAAGTGTGGGGATACCACGGGTTAGAATCTCGTGTCTTTACCCTCTGCCCGCACGCGCACACGTCTTGCAGCAGTGCGCGTTCGCAAACTCAGCTCACGTGAGCAGGGCTCTGTAATAGCGACACCCATTGAAGCGGTGGGTTTTTTTTAAAACAGGGTAGCAAAAATATTAAAAACAAAGCGACGCATGTCCATAATGCAAGCAAACATTTTAAGTTGTTTAACAGGGACGACCTCAAGCTGTCTGAGGGCCTAACCGGCTTTCAATCTGGGGGGCCCCTTTCAAGTTTACCCACCAGTCACATACTATCAATCTCCCTTTTTATTTGGGTCCATTTAAAAAAAATTAAGACCTTATAGTACTTATTTTCTTCACACACCAACCTGCCTTGATTCTAACGATGTACATTTACTGGTTGTTTGGGGTCAGGAAATATGTTTCGTAACTAATGTAGGCCTATATCTCATTAATCACTCAATTAAATCAACTTTTAAATTATTATTTACTGATTTCATAATTTCCCTGAAATTTGGTTGTTGTGAATTTATTTTTGTAGTGCAAGAAAAATATTGAGAAACTACACTATCAAGACTTAATCACTACATGCTTTTTTTTTAATGATCCATACAGTTAAATAAGACAAAATGAACATATTTCCACTTTTGATTTGCACTACTGCTTCTACAGTTAGCTTTCCAACAATACATTAATAATGACTGAATGTCGATGTGTTTTGCTCGACAATTACACGATTTCATTTAAATCATGTGTACTTTAAAATAGAACTTATTTAAAAACATTTTTGATATTTTAAGCATTTAATTTCCATCATCACTACAGAGCATGACTGAGCTTTGTAGCCTGGAGCATGGGCAGACATTCATTGGGTTCTTAAATATACTTTAGGTAAATATTAGTGGAGTTTTAGGTAAATATTATTCTCCCATTTATTCTGTTCCATTTGGCAAAGGTACATTTCTGGAGGGGGACATCAGCTCAAATAATGCCACCATCAACTAATCGTTCTGTCTTCTGCTACACATTTTTTCAAGATCATCAAAATAATCCTACATCAGTTCATTACTTTTTTTTATCTGCTGTGTCTTCTCAAAGACTGCCCAATTGGTCGTGGCAAATGGGTGCTTACTGAGCTAGATCTGCTGGGTTTTTCTTACTGCCAGTAGGTAGTTATTTGTCTCTTGCTATTGCTACATGCATCCTTGACATGAGGGAGTAAAGGACAACTGATTTTCTGCTGTGGCTAAATATAAGCCAATGCTTCAAGACAATGACTCAATGCAATTTGCTGGGTTTTCTTAAATATACACTTAAGGTACTTTGAATAAATAACTCGGCTTACTGTACAGATTGATAACTAGGATCAATTGGAATGCATGTGTAACTGAATTAAATTTTTTGGTAAAGTGCCTCAAAACATTTACTGTAAATTTAATTTAATTGATTTAAATTGAATGCACTATTTAACAATGCACTATTTAACTCTGTTAAATAGTGCATTCAATTTAAAATCAAAGTTGAAAAAAAAATACAGTGTGCATAAAATATTCTCCCCAATGATAACATTTAGCACCAGAAATCAAAAAAATTTCTTCTAAATAATGACAACTTTCTACCTTTGAAGCTTTTCTTTCCTACTACACGCCCGAAGCAATTCTGGGTTAGCAGAGGGGGATGTAGCCCTAACGGTGAATTATAGGGTGCAGGTCTTTAAAATAATTTCAGAATGCTGAGAAAATATTTTCTGCCATGCTTAGTCACCAACAATGCATGTCCTCCTTACCATTTTGAATCAGTTAAGATAGAAAAAGTGTTGGAAAAAAAACATTAGGTGTTAAATAAAGAGTCTACCAGTTACAAAATACTTTATTTTAATGAAGCAAAATCCATCCCTTAAATCACATTCCTGCTTGAAATGGCACACCTTTTGATAAAATAATTCTTTTTCAAAATGCATTTTAATGAAAGGCACTAGCTGAAAACAAAAGTGTTTTGTTCATATTACATGAAAACAAAACATTACAATCATCCAAGTGATCTGCTGATGAAGGTTGAAAAAATACTCTCAAATTCAGAAATAATTAAACCTGAACCTATGCACGATACTAAAAGCTGTCTAGAGGTAATGAATAACTTTAGGAAATACATATATACCATGATGCAACCATAACACTTCCTGCTAAACCTCCAGAACACACAGACTTGCACATAAATATGTTTTTCACTCAACATTAAATAGTTTTCACTTACAAATCTTGCAATAGCTGTACTTTTACCAGATGTAGCTTTCATACAAAAGTGTATTGTAATGACACCCTAATGGGCTCAGTAGGTCACTGCATGAGTTCTGGATAAAACAAATAAACCACAATTAGCTCTCTCACCCAAATGCTAACAGTGAACTGAAATTAAGTTGGAATATTTAGCTAAAGAGTTTTAAGCAATAAGAACAGCACACCAAAAATATACTACAAAGGATTTGAAACTAAACTTAGTGATTTGTTTCACCAACTGTTATGTTACCAAAATCCACAAACTGGTAGACCAGATCGTTTCTTGTTCAGGTATTAATCCAAAATCTCATAGAATCCCAAACTGCATCTCATAAAATTCTGCAGCCATAGGACGAATCAGATGTTGACAGAGTGAGCATGTTTCTTGCATAAGGGCTTGTCCTTCTTGGAGAAGAAAGGTTGGCCTTCCAGGCTGGTGGAGCAAACCTGCAAAGACAGTCAAACATTTACACAGATGTGTTACTTACACGGAACAAGTAAGAATGTCACTGGCTGAAAGGAGTCTTCCCAGACTTACCACACACACAAAACAGGTGTCATGCCAGGTAAAACCCAGCGCCTCCAGGAACTTGTCTCCGGCCTCAATGGGGAAGTCGCAGCCATGGCAGTTGGTCCCAAACATGGTGTAGTAGTCTGTTTGTTCATTGCATTAACATAATATTAGTCTGTTTGAAATGCATAAGGATTTTCCTGGTTTCACATTAGGATGTGTTTTCCGTACCTCTTTCACAGTATGGCTGTCCGTCCTCCATGTGAAATGTGTTGCCTCTGATTGGCTGGTGGCAGGCAGCGCAGACAAAACAGGACACATGCCAGGTCTGCTTCAGGGCATTCATGACTTCCTGCAAGGGGGAATGAAAAAGCAAGAGAAGCCATTCCTGAAGTTAGCACCGCATTAAAGTGAATGTATTCAGATCTTTATTAAGAACATTTACTAGTTGCTAAATTTTATAAACAAAATTCTGAACACACAATAACAAAAGTTCTGTTCAGTTCTTGAAACTATTTTAGAAATCTGCCCAAATGTATGCAACTTGAATGGGTGACTCTTTTCTGCTATTTAGCAATAAGCACCACAACTACTGCTGAACATTAAAAAACAATCCTGATTTGTTTTGTTGCAACAGACAGGGCAGCTATAACAAAATGCACACAAAAAATATAGTATATAACAGAGAACATGAAAATGTTTAACAGTGTTAAATGCAACTATTTTTGCAGTTGCATAGCCTTACATTGGTGATAAAAAAATTTATTTAAGTGCATTTATTCAATGAGGAAAAGGTTTAAGGACAGAATAGTCATTTTTAAGAAACTCCTTGGTAGCATAAATGTTGGTACTTCCAACAAGCACAAACAAGTTTTGTTATGTGCACTTACCTTTTAAGATCAACACTAATTTGAACTTCCAATTTACCTCTATGTACTGTACAGAATACTGACCACAAGTCAAGAGAGCCCTTGCAAATGTATTGGTACTGAATGAATTGGTCTCTGTCCTCATAAATGTGAAAAATGGCAAAAAATTATTCAGGGTATAAAACTTCCTAGAAATTCAAAACATAATAGAAGACCCCGGGCTCTGGAGGATGTTGTAGAGGAACGGTCAAGTATTGTCTTTCTCTGATCAAACTCTGTGAGGGCATTGTGTTTAATAAAACAGAATTTAACAAAACAATTATTTCATAGAGTGGGATCCCCACACCACTAAATTTATGGGCACCAGTTAAAGATCGCATTTTTAGGACATTTTAGGTTGAGATTATAATAGTCCAATAGTGCATTATTTACACATCTTTGCAAGTGGCAAGAATAGTTTGTGGATGGCACAGTATATTACCATGATGAAAAAAATGTTTGACCAAAGAATCATGGTAACTTTTTGTCCTTTCAGATTTCTAAAAACATATCCCATTTTATAGCATATGAAATTTAACTAAATATTCACAAAATTAGAATGAACAATTTACGTTTTTATATAATTTCGAATTAAACATTTTAAACATACTAAACATTTTTATTTATTTAAATACCCACTCCGAGGATCTTCTGGTTGCAACTGGCACAGGTGGGAGCAAAGAACTGCTCGTAGCAATGCACACAGTACACCTGGTTCTTCTCTTCAACAAATCCCCGTTCTGCCAGGGAGGAGTGGCAGTGAGCGCAGTTGAATTCCTCAGGGTGCCAGGACATGCCCATGGCCACGAGGAATGGGCCTCTAGTAGGAGCAAAGTTGAGACATAAATTATTAAAAAATGTATTCAAAAGCTCTACACGTGCATATAGAGCTGCTTTGATGTACCTTATGACTTTGTTGCACTTGCAGCACATTGGGGTGCGGGTACCAGCAGGTATATGCTCAGCACGTTGCACCAAAGAGTTCAGATCTTCAGGATGTGGCTGTGGAGTGGGCCGGTCCGGTTCTTTCTGAGCAGGACTGACTATTTTCCCAAATGAGGGGCCTGCTCCCACTTTAGAAAAGCCTGAAGCAGAGAGAAGAGGGTGAGGTTCCAGATAAAAGAGGAGGAAAACAAAAACAAAACAAAATTAAAGCTGCAAGCAGCCTCGAACGGCCCTCGCAGCCAAGCGCCGCTCCGGCCTATTGCCACCGCGGGGTAAAAGCAACCGCCGCCTCACGCCAGCCACCACAGAAGCTCTCACGCAGTTTTCAGCTCCTCCGCCCGCACCGCGGAAGCTGTTGCTCAGATTCCATCAACGCTGGCCACGTGCTAACACAGAAGTTGTTGCGCAGTTTCCGCGCCCGTCCAACAGGCGGTACGCACTGATGCGTTCGGAGTCGCTCCTTGACGATGCAAAAAATGTGGTGCAGATTCATTGGTTTAGCGAGGAAATATAGCTGGCGGATTAATGTAGGACGCGCAGTGGAGTCAAAATATATTTCAATGCTGTTGTTCTCTTTAGAGGTCAACAAAGGTCATACGTATCCAATTTGGCGTCAGTCGGATGATCCACGTGTCATTTACAGCCGATCATATGCACATGACAAAGTATTACAGTTCGTCATTTTTCATCATTTTCAGCTGTGTTTCTAAAGAACTCTATTTCATTGTTGGAGTAATACTTACTCAGAGGCGAATTACTGAAATGGTTTGTAAGAAGTAAGAAAACGCTACATTTACTGCATGATTTAATTCAACAAAAATTATCTGAGACATTTTCTATCCTTTTAGAAATTTCATGGCAACGCTCTCACAAAGTTTTCACGCCATCCGCCCGTGGATCTGTTTGTCATTGGTGGAGGAACACTGACACCTACTGGCGAAATACTGATATTGTTCTTCATTCTGTTTATCTGCTGTTTCATTTGTGGAGCAATACTGACCCCAAGTGGCGAATTACTGAAATGGTTTATAAACGCCAAAAATGGGATCAAAATCTGAACTTCAATCTAAAATGGCTGACTTCCTCTGGGGTTTAGACCATGGCTCCAAGAGACTTTTTTGTAAGTCCTGACAAGGTACACACGTGTACAAAGTTTCGTAATTGTAGGTTAAAGCATGGCTTGGGGCTGATCATTTAAAATTTTCTAGGGCGCTATAGATAAATTAGGCCACAACCTACAAATATTGTGATGGATTCCTGTCGGGGAGTGGATGAACATCCATCCTTGTGAGTTTGGAGCAGCTGTGCCCAAAAATGTGGAATTGAGAGCCAAACGTATGGCGATGGCGTTACAGGTCACTTCGCCACGCCGCCACGCCCACCTACTCCATCGAAGCTGGTCTGGGTTGGAATCCTCAACACACCAACATGTCTTCTGTGTCTGGGCACAGTTTCATGTTGATGAGGTCAAAGGGGTCAGATAGCGACCGTTCAGAGTAAAACATTACACTTCCTTTTATCAGGGGGCGTGGCCTAAGTGATGTCATCATTCGACCATAGGGTATTGTAGGACACCCGATGATGATCAATCACAGAAACTTTGGTGCCTCTGTGAGTTTCTGTGTAGGAGATATAGCAGTTGATTTTTATGGGGAGTAGGTGAACTTTGACCCCTGCTAACCCCCCTTCAGCATTCTCAAAAACTCACCGTTTTGATAACTTTAGATGGGACATGCCTTATGAGCAGACTGACCGAGTTTGAAGCCGATCAATCGAAATCCCTGGGAGGAGTTCGATCAAATACGAAGGCTGCAAACTGCAAAAATGGGTCAAAATCCGAACTTCAATCCAAAATGGCCGACTTCCTGTGGGGTTTAGACCATGGCTCCAAGAGACTTTTTTGTAAGTCCTGACAAGGTACACACGTGTACAAAGTTTCGTAATTGTAGGTTAAAGCATGGCTTGGGGCTGATCATTTAAAGTTTTCTAGGGGGCGCTATAGAGAAATTAGGCCACGCCCACCAAATATTGTGATGGATTCCTGTCGGGGAGTGGATGAGGATCCATCTTTGTGAAATTGGAGCAGCTGGGCCCAAAAATGTGGAATTGAGAGCCAAACGTATGGCGATGGCGTTACAGGTCACTTCGCCACGCCGCCACGCCCATCTGCTCCATCGAAGCTGGTCGGGGTTGGAATCCTCAATACACCAACATGTTTTCTGTGTCTTGGCACAGTTTCATGTTGATGAGGTCAAAGGGGTCAGATAGCGACTGTTCACAGTAAAACATTACACTTCCTGTTCTCAGGGGCGTGGCCTAAGTGATGTCATCATTCGACCATAGGGTATTGTAGGGCAGCCGATGATGATCAATCACAGTAACTTTGTTGCCTCTGTGAGTTTCTGTGTAGGAGATATAGCAGTTTATTTTTTTTACGGCGAGTAGGTGAACTTTGACCCCTGCTAACCCCCCTTCAGCATACTCAAAAACTCACCGTTTTGATAACTTAGATGGGACATGCCTTATGAACAGACTGACCGAGTTTGAAGCCGGTCAATGGAAATCCCTAGGAGGAGTTCGATCAAATATGAAGGTAAACGGCTAAAATGGGCTCAAAATTGGACATTCAATCCAAAATGGCCGACTTCCTGTGATACTTGCACTATGACATTAATTGTAAATTTTGAGCATCTTGGGGAGCTCTACAAGTACCAAATTTCATGTCTCTAGGATAAAGTAAGTGAATAGCAAAGGGTCCTTTGAAAATTTGTAGGTGGCGCTATTGAGCCATTTTTTATGGGATTTTTGCAATGACCTTAAAATACAAAATTTTGAAACTCCCTTTACGCGTCCGCCAAGTTTGGTGAGTTTTTGAAAATGATAAAGCCCCCCAAAAAGGCCCCTCTTTAGGGGGGCAGAATAATAATAATAAGAAACAGTACAGAAACAATAGGCCTTCGCAGCGCTTAGCTGCTCGGGCCTAAAAACATCTGATATCAGAAGAGTGTGAAAAAGCTATAAAAAATTAAACTATTATTCTGCCTAAGCAAACAGTCAAGTGAACGGAATTATTTTTTTGCTTTTTCAGAAAGAAAAAAAAACATGCATTTAATAAATGAGTTTACATTAGTTCTGTAGGATTATTGGGTTTTATTCAATTAGATATGCATAAAATATTGCCAAATGATTGCCACATTTTTCATTTTAAACATGAATTCATTTTTAACATAAACATGTCTAAAAAAATAAAATCTAAAAATAAAAAATATATATATAAAATAATAAAATATAAAAAAATATGACCTTTTTTAAAGGACTATATTCATAAATGAAATCAAATCAAAATCACTGTTACCTAAATCTGCTGTACTCTCAATAATACCTATAAATTTAACATCTCAAATGGATATTTTAGTTAAACGTTCAATTTGCCATCAATACATCTTGTTTTCCTGGAGTGTAAATATGATATGACATTTTTACTCTGATCCACATTACAAAAGTCCAAAATATCTACTTTCCTAATCTTGTCCAAATCTAAATTTAGAGGAATTACTGAAAATGTTTAACACTCAAATATCTTTCCATCAGGCACACAGAGGAGGCTGTTTAGTGAGCAGGAAGAACTCTGTAGAGGTCATTGTTCAAACTGCAGCAAAAATGTTTAAAGTGAGATATCGCAATGATAAACCTTTCACAATTCTCTTAAAAAAAGTTTACATTTAATCAAGGTGGAAAGTGGGATCATGAAAAAATGGTGACAATATAAAATGTTTGCTTTTATTTGATTCGCATACATTAATGCTCGACATACAGCCAAAAAAAATAATAATTTCCTTCTTTTGGGGTTTTCTTCCAACTCAAATTTGAACATACAAAATATAGAGCATGAACTAATTGCATCAATTCCAACTTTTACATGAAGCAAGTATTGGAACATGAGGAATTTGTGCACAGACCTTTGAAAATGATTTTTCTATTTTATAATTTTACTGGACCTAACAAAGGATTTTCATTAAGTTTACTTCTGCATTGATTGCATTATAAAAGATGTTCATAAATGGGTTTAAGATAATGCAAAACATGCCTAAATAGGCTTCAGATTCTTCTGGAAAAAAAACACAGTTTTAACTCTTTGGAACTGTTTGTATGTGAGGAGTTAAGGAGGCTAAAGACCACAAACATCTCTTCTCATAACTCAAACATAGAACAAAGTCGCACTTTTAAATGGATACGGATGGCTAATTTGTGAAAATTACGTTTCATTCACGTTGAATAAATGAACAACTTGAAGCCTTGAGCGATCCACTTAAACGAATGAGATTCAAGCCTGTGTGTTAATCTGATAAATAAAAGCCAACAAAAGATCACTGTGTCCTCAGCCTCTCTCCCTCTCTCTGTGTGGCATTTCTTGAGGAAAACATGGTGGGGAAACACAGCACATCTGTTCACGTGTGAAGGTCCACTTGTTATTAGTATTACTAATAATGATGGATGCCTCTGAGCAAATATTTGCACTGGCTGGCTCCAGGTCTCGTGGCAGGGATCGCAGCATTTCATGAGCCACTTTCACACAAAATAAAATCCATAATTCTCACATTAACAATCTATTTGACTGAGGGAATCTTGGGAAAAGCCAATAATCTGAGCTCATTAAGTGAATACCTCCAGTTTTTATAGAGCCCATAATCTTAAATGGCTTAGTGTCAGGTATTAAACCTGCTATAAAAGTTATAGCTAAATAGCAGCGGTGTGAAAGAATGAGGCTGCCCTCTACAGGCTGAAAGAAGCCAATCCATCTTAATGTCCGAGTACAGGCGTTGTGCAGTGAGGGCAATGCGTGTGCATGTGTGTACCTGCTAAACCTCCAGGCTGGAGGTTCTTATTTTGAGCAGGAGTCTTAAATGTGGATCCAGGGACTACACTGCCATTCCTGGGAGCTGCTGCAGAATTGGAATACGTTTTTGCAGCAGACGATGTGTGAACACTGGGGGTGGTTTGGTCAACTGCTTCTCTACAAAACAGATACACACTTCAAATGAAGACACACTCAGTTTGATAATACAAAAACACTTAACTTCATCCGTATTTCAATACTGCATACCACAGAGAGTGGAAAACAGAAACGTGTAGCTGTTTGTGTTTTATAAAATAAAGACCAACAATACCAATATCAGCTAACAGGAATAAGTTTTAATAGAGACATGTTACTGTGACCTGGCCGAGTGTAGGCTGGATTCTTTAAATGTAGAAAAAAATGCTTTAAAAAATGTAAATCATATTGCACATGGATAAAGAGCCTTGCAAAAATATGATACTTTTTCCACATTTTGTGACATACAAAAACATGATTTTAACTCATTTTTACCATTTACAAATCTGAAGTATGGCATATAGCTACACTCAGACCATTTACCCCTAAATAAACCAACAGACTGTCAATTAGTAAGCAAAGTCCATCTGATTTAATATTAGAAAACACAATATAGTTGTCCATCACTATTGTGAAACAGTGCATTTGCAGCATCATGCTGTGGGGATTCATTTCTTCAGCAGGGACAGAGTTTATGGTTAAGCTACGAAGACCTAATGCAGACTGATGCAAATTTTTGGGGCATGCTGTTGTCATATTGCTAAAGTTCATGACCAATGAGCATTTACAAAAGAAGATGCAGATGAATATGTTCTAAATACAAACCCACCTTTGTATATTTCTTTCTTGTTTTAGAATAAAAAACAAATTTCTAATGCTGGTTTGATAAAGTAGAAAATACATTCTAAAAGAAGAGCAACTCTGTGAACATTTGACAACTTTAAACTTTAACCATGTTTTTTTTTTGTATTGCCGTTCAATAATATGGTTCAATAATGCTTCATAAAAGCATAAAAGCTGATTTTGCATCTACTTAGATAGGTCTGAACAAGGTTAAAGGAGGAGAAAAAAAGCCAAGGAGATGAGAAGAAAGCAGAAAAGAAGTTTATTCAGAAAATAGATGGCAAATGAAAGATTAGAAGGAAAAAAATGACAGACATGTTCAGAAAATTCAGGAATATAAAACAGAAAATAATAAAAGCACAGATTTACAGAATGTGCAACCTCTGCAAACAAACACTGCAAAAATAATTTGCTACCATTTATCTAAATGTAGACATTTTCTTTAAGCATGCATCAATGGGAACATCATTGTGTGCCGTTTCATCCATTTTGTACTTCGGTACAAAAAGAGACTACGGAAGTCAGTTCTGCTCAAAAAAATTTAATTAAACAATAGACAAAACAAGCGCTGTACTACTGTACATTTAGCACTCGTGCTGAAACACCGTGGTGCCAGTCTTTCAGCTTGTTGTACTTGTGTCCTACAACTTGTGGATCCACCTTGCTCACTCTGATTTGCACAAAAGGACATAATAAAGAGAGAAGAAAAAAGTTGGACCGTTAAGGTGGCAGAGCAGAAGTCAAAGATTTTACAAGAGGAATTAATTGAGGAAAAAACAATAGGCTTAGAGAATGATTTATTTTTATAGTCTCAGAGAAATATAAGAAACTAATCAAATAGTGACTGGTTGGCAATGCTTGAAGATCCTTATTTAATAAAAGTTTACATTGGGAACAACAATGGAAACCACAAAAATGGTCAACACCACCTTTCTTTGCACTCCTACTGAAATGTTTTCTGTTTAAAAGTCATTTAAACAGTAAAACACCACCCTAGATCAATAAATCTTGGAAATATTCTTTTGTGAACATTTACCAGCCAAATAATAAATGCAACTGAACCATATCAAATTTCAACAAGTGTTCCTGCAAAATAATTGTTTTGCACAATATTAATGTGCCACTAAAAGTAGTACAAGTCAAAGAAGCACATTTATTAGACTTAAGAAAAAGCACTACTTACTTTTTTCCATTTTCTGGCATTTGTTCTACAGGAGGAAAGAAAAAAAGCACCAATAAATTTACCACCATATGGAAAATTAGCACTAAGCTTTCATGAAAGATACATACATAACAAAACGTACATTAAAAAATTTTTAAATCATAGCTTTGTTGGTTATTTTTGAAATATTGCAGTTGGTATTGCAATTTTTTTTTACATTTATGCAAGCATCTACACCATCAAAGCATTTTATATTTCTAAGACAAAGAGCACGTCACAGGTTTTCCTGCACACATTTACACACATTCAAACTTGTTCAATAAATACCAAGAGAGCAGCAGCACATATAGCTGGGCTATAAAAAAATGAAGAAATGCTGGAAGTTTTTGCAACAGCTTTTATTACCAATAATTAAAATGAATTTGGGACGATTTCTATTCTGTTCCGAAAAACCTATGGTACCTCACATTAACTCAAGGAATGACGAGAAAAGAGAATATTATGCAGAGTCTGCAGTTCTCCTTACAATGTTTGAGAACTGACACTGAGGTCTGCAGTGAGCTGCTTCACATTAGTGTTATATGAAGTGAACCAAGTTCATGCACGATAAGCAGTCCAACCCACAATTGGTTTTACCTCAAACATTATGGTTGAAGTCGCCACACAAAGTTTCTATTAAATTAAGCATTGGGATTGGGTTAGCCACACCATAAAATTAATCTCTTTGCTGTGGACCAGGGGTCTGCAAACTTTGCAACTTAAAGAGACCTTTTTTTGCTCTCAGTCCTGTTAAATAAAACTAATTTGGAGCTGCAAGTGTTATGTGATCTTTTGAAAGACATATTATGTCTTTCAAAAGACATAACATGTCTTTTGAAAGACATATTGTTTTTGATAAATATCTACTACAGAAAATGTGTTGCCATTTTAAAGAACTGCTATAAGTTTCTAAAAACTCCTTTTGCAAACTGTTCATTATCAGAATAGTGAAATATTTACACTGATAAATAATCAAATAACATGGTATGCAGGTTTCTTTGCATAGGGTCACACAAAGAAACCTAGGCTTTCTTGTTTCACCATATTTTTTGGCTCATGTGTTAAATAGTCTGACACTTGCTAAAAAAATTACAATTCACCATAAAGATGCAATTTCTTCAGCAATGGGACTTTGCTAGTACTTCTTGGCAAGAGCTGAACATTGGGGAATTAAAACAAAACAAGAAAATATTTCAATTTCATCTAACTTCAACCAAAACCAGTGATCGGTCTACTTCATGATATTGGATATCTATGATTTTGAAAATAACAGTGTGGGTTCCAACCACATTTAATTTGCAGTTAAAATACAAATAGCTTAATTTATATAGAAATACAACTTATTTTTGATTGAGTGCAATCTACATGTACTGTGGAGTTATAACGAATCTAAAAGAAAAAAACAGCTATAAGTTATTTCAGACAGCAGCACGTTTTTGAAAATAACCCATAATCATAAAGTCTTACAAATACTCATTTGAAACTATTAAGCTGAGATCAGTGCTCACCGTTCTCAGTGCCAGTCATTTGTGCGAGGATGCGGAAGGAGCGAGACTGGGAGGTACCGGTCCGTGGGTGCCAGTCCTCCGTGTCTTCAATAAGACGCTTTTTGCTGGCGTCACTCAGAGGGGACACGCTCTTTTCAGGCTCCACAACAGCTTTCCTGTGCAGCAAAATAGGACATAAGTAACTTGTAATTTTGATTTGAATGGCTATCATCTAGATTACAGGTTTCAAACTCCAGATCCGAAGGATGGTATATTGCATCACTTAGATGCGTCTCTGCAGATATCACAATACCAAGTTGTTGTTATGACTCTATAAAAACTTGAGTATATAATGTAATAATTCAGTCCTTTGATTCAGATTTATTGGACCTGGGGCACATCAGAAAGATGCACAACATAAGGAACGTGGTCACTGTAAAAAGAAAAGGCCGAAGGTATAAAGTCTTTATTCTTGGTGTCTAATTACTCACTCAGTTTGTAAACAATAAAAACATACTGCATTGCTGTGACTTATTCTTGTCAGATCAACTATTGCTACAAAAGAAATTTGAAAAATGCAAGGAAATGTCAACTGTAACAGGAGATCATTGGAAGCAGATTCAGAGAGAATATTGTTCTACTTTAAGTCCCGAGAGTGGCATAGTACCAATTGTGTTTGGGTCACAGTGGTATACTTTTTTGAATATGCTCTAAAATAGATCAGTTTGTTCATTAAATAAATAGAAAAAGCATAAATATATATATATTTTTTAATAAATAGATGTGTGCCATTTAAACTGTCCTCCCTCCCCTTAAAATAAAACTATATAGAACTAATGCTCGATATTTTTTCTGTCAGCAGTTCCAGATGTCACATAATGCACAACACACTAGATATGCATCAACTGACTGGACAGAAACTGGTGATAAATTCGTCAAAACCAGATGCATAAAACTTTGTTTCCTGTTCATCAAATACAGCATGTGTTTTTAGGTAGTTTTTAAGACTTCAGTACCAAAAGAAATAAAAATTAATAAATTTATGGTTTGATGCATAAGCAGAGATGTCTTTCGTATTCATTCAATACAAGTAGCTCAATACTACTAACACTTCATTGTTTCTGTTTGACAATTTATATTATGCACATGGAAAAAACATAGGCTTGCAGCAATCAGAACTCAGTTACCTCCTAGGTGTAGCTGCAGGTGGAGTTCTGCAGGTAGAGAGTGAAAAGACGAACGAGGAGAGAAAACACAGAAAGAATCCAACATTTACAAACACAGAGAGAAAAAAGTGAAGAATTGGAAATTAGGAATACTATTAGAAAGAAACTAAATGTTATCTTGAAAAAAATTTCAAAAAGTGAATCTTCAAAAAAAAAAAAAAATAAATAAAACAATCTTTAGCAAAGTCAAGAGCTAGTGAAAACTTGTTATAACAGCAAAACTGAAAGGGAAAATCTTATAATAGTGAATAAATGTGAGTCAGTGCTGCACCACCAGGTGGTAGTAATGGGCTTTCAATTATCTGTATATTATCCAGAGGCCCTTTCAAACTGCGAACAGTTTGAAACAAGCATTTTCCTCTGCTTGTGTTTAAGTAAAACATAAATAAAATCAAAAACATGTTGTATTATCCTTATTCTAACGCAACTACACAGATGAAACACCAACCTTCAATAAGCTGATAGTGGTTACAGCCAAGCCAATCAGGTGCAGAAGCAAATGCCAAACACAGATGTTCCTAAGTGCATAAATAAAGATCTAAGGCTGTTCCACCAATTAGTGTCCATGGAGGTTTTAGATAATGAATATTTACTGGGTTGTTTTTACTTTAAAGTAAGGTTCTCATGTTAGCAGATGAGGTTTGTGATGTGTAAGCATGCTTTAATATAATCATAACCCAGAAAGATGTGGAGGCTGTAATCACAAGCTACTGCAGCAACCACGTTATTAATCATAGCACTAACTTTGTGTTTGTCTCGTCCTCATCCTGTGGGGGGAAAAAATAGTGCATGGAAAAGAATTAAAGCAAAGAACGAAGAGGAACAAATTTGAGAGAATGTACTTCAAGAAAAACTAATCAGAAAAAGGAAGCATGCAAGTTAGGATACAAAGACAAAAACTAAACTCTACATCTAAAAAGGTAAAAAAAAGTAGCTGTTTTAAGCAAAAGTAAAACTGAAAAAGCTGAAGAAGAAAAAGTACTAAATTTTAGACTCAGACTTTGAAACTGTTTCAGTTTGGTCTTTTATTTTTAACATTTGTACATTTTAACTCACTTTAGCTCTGTGAAGTGAAAGTTAGTAAGTCAAAAGGCTCCAGATGACATCCAGTCCTCCTAAACTTAGCTAAACTGTTGGTGTTGACGTTATGCATCAATTTGATATCCTAACAAGGTTTTTCCATCGTAAACTGTGAAGTCCTCCTAATAATTATTGCATCTCTTTGAGGACACCGTCTGTCTGGTTGCTGAAATATGACAAAGACAAATGTGTGCCTTTAGAAACATTTTCAGAAATTAGAAACAGTCATGGTGTGGAAACTTGAAGAGAAAAGCCAAATAAACCATAAACTGTTTAAAATTACTGTTATTGATATAGTGAAACTGTGATACTTTAGTCGATGTTATAGCAAATAGCTAGTGCCTGGTTAACAAAATAAAAACAGTTGACAATTAAATATGAAGGTAAATAATAGATCTGCTGTTTTATTACTTGATTTCCCCACAATCACATAAAACATTTCTTTAATATTGTTGCCAGTTCCCTTTTTTGGCTCATGCAGCTGAAAACCAAAGTGTGCCCGCAGTAATGCTGCAGCTGTGGTTTACATCCAAAACTTAATTTTGCTAAATATCACAACTTTGACTTTTTGCTTTCTACTGTTGGCTCCATTACATCTTGTGCAAAGATGTAATGGAGGACACAAAAAAGGTAAATCCAGGTAAATAATCCAGAATCTACATAAGCATGAGAGGAAGTAGTAAAGCAAATAGGACATATCTTCCCGTTTCATCTGACTGTGACATAATAATGGAAACTATGCTACCAAACGGTTCACAATCCACTCAAAAAACTTCAACAATGATAGAACTGAAACAAGCCACTCTGTCTCTTGCTGGGATTGAGATGATTAAAACCAAATACAAAGAGTGTGACTTCAACCTATGCCAAGTCTTTTTATTTTATTTTCTTGTAATCAAGTGCAGACAAATTATGATGTGTGGTTTCACGGTTTACTTTTTAAATTAGAAAAATATTTCGGGGTGAAGTGTAATGGAGTACAGAGTTTCATAGGGTGGAGATCAGAGAGAGTTATATTGACTTTAATGAATTTTTCAGTCGGGAAAACCACAAAAATGTCCTGTAACACATAGTCTTGACCTACAAAAATACCAGGCCTGCTGACTAATGCAAACAGTAGCTGGAAATGGATCACTTATTTTTAAGAAAGATGTGAAACAGAAATAAAACATGAAAACCTTCAACCTACCCATTTACATGCTCTGAGAGACCCTGGCTCTCCAAAAGGCCTCGCCTTTGTCCAATAGCAACTTCACAAGCATTGGCGTTGGAGTACAGGTTGATAGGTGTGTTATAGACGGAGGGCTGCGGGACATTAGGATGGGCAGGGGGTACCGTCACTCTGGGTGAAGATGAGGAGTTAGATGAAGTGGATGAGGCAGAGGGGGAGGTGAAGGCAGAACGGCTGGCGCTGATTTTGGGGCCAGAGTTTACTATGGCCGAATCTGAAGCGGGGAGGCTTGACTTCAATGCGAAAGGAGGCTGTGGAGGCTGAGAGGGAGAGGCTGGGGTGAAAGCTGATGATTCGGAAGGGATAGAGGCAACTTTTGGAGCAGTCAGGGAGGAAGAAGCAGTAACCCCACTGCTGCCGCCCCCAAACGGGCGAGCTGTCTTGTTGTACAAAGGAGTGGGCTGGCTTGGTGGCTTGGTGTATGTGGTGCTCGGCGCAGGGTGAGTGATCGGCACAGGCTTAATGATTTCCTGAGGCTCTTCCTGGATGAAGGTGAGGACAAACATGCACAAAAAGCAAATCCACAAAAATCCCATGCACTGAAGCCAGAACTCACAGCACAAACGTAATAAAAATGAACTGTGCTCTCACACTGGTGGATGGATCAAGTTACATCTCTGTCATTCAACTTAACTCAAGCAGTGCCTTGCAAAATTATTCATACCTCTTTTGAAAAGTTTTGTCACGTTATAAACACATTTCATTGGAATGTCCCACAAAGTACACCAAAACTCTCATGTGAATTGCATCCAATCTGAAAAGTGTGGCATACATTCAGCCCACTTTGATATGGCACCTGATGAGAAATGGTAATGGACAGTATCATGATACTCTGGGGGTGCTTTACTTCAGAAGTTAATCAGAGTTAACGAGGGGATAAAGTTATAACAGGGCAATACCACAAGGAAACTGGACAAAGGATGTAAAGATCAGAGTGAATGAACCCTGAACCCAATTAAGAATCCATAGTCCACAAAGGCTCTTCATCCAGTCTGACTGAGCTCGAGTCATTTTGCAAAAAAGAAAAGGGGATAACTTATTTTTGGTAGAGCATGTAGCAGTTTTTGCAGCTAAAGCCGATTCTCCGAAGCATCAACTCTAGGTAGAGTGAATTTATATATATCATCTTCAAACTTTTCAGGTTTTTGGGGACATAAATATGTCTTTGCACTTTATAATTATAAAATAATTTGTCTTAATCAATCACATCTATTCTAGTTATTTACACCGATATCTCTAGTTGTAAAGTGACAAAAAAAAATGTTGCAAAGGGTGTGAATACTTTTGCAAGGCAATGCGTACATGCAAAGCAATTAAATTTTTTCCACATAATCTCAGAAGGGTTATTCAACTCTGATGCAGCGCTAAATGAACGCTTGCCTTACCTTGTGTGATTCCTCTTTCGAGACAGCGGAGGCTCTGAAAAGACAAAAGAAAATATGAGTTACTCCACATGAAACAAGTACAGTTGTTAAATCTAAAGTGTTTGGAAAAGTATTACTTTTTTTTTTTTTTACTTTGAAAACCCAGCGTTTAAAACAAGTCGGGCAGAGGAAAAACTTTTTTTTTTTTTAAGTCAAATTCAAGCAAACGTGATTATTAAAAGGTCCAGTATGCATTTGATTTGCACAACAGCAGAAGCAGCTGATATATTTTAAAACCGTGAAGGAGGTTTAGGGTGGTCTGCTCGTCTCTTCTTCCTTCTTATCTCACTCTGGAGATGTTCTGGAAACTGAAGAACATCCAGCAAACCTTTCAACACACTTTTGATATGTGTATAGTGTTACTATTCTATTAATGTTACTTTTTCCTGTTAATGTATAACACATTCTGTTTCATGTTAAAAATAAGTCTGCATCAGCAATTTCAAGCACTAAAAATGTGGTCTACTTTGAATGATGACAGGTCGTAATAACATTTTACAATATTTAGTCTGAACTGCAGATAATGTAGCCCTTTTTTCCCCCTATGTAAAAAAAAAAAAAGAAAGGAAGAAAGAAAAAAAGACTAGAGGGAACAAAAGCAAAAAACAGACATGAGGTAGAGAGGCTGGTCCTGGACCAGGATCTGTGGTATGTCTCCTGCCTCCCTTCCTGTCTATCAGGACAACAAACAACAAACTCACACGTTTCCTTTCCGACTGAGCTGAAGCACATGAACAGAGCCTGGTACCAGGTTGTTAAACAACCCCGCCCTGCAGAATCAAACGTCATCTGCCGCCATGCTTCCACTTACAATTTTCCACTTAACTGTTAATATCCAGCCTGCTTATTTTCCAATGAGCTGCACCAACGTATTATTGCAATTGCTTATGGAGCAACACATTGCCTCGCCAGGGAAAACAGTCAGAGGTCTAAAGATCAAACAACACAGACTGTTTTGAACAGATCCCAGTCTAAAATAATAAGGCACTATGTATCTACTATCAGGGTCCCAGAATGGGGCAGCTGGGCGGATTCTCTGTGTCTGTCTACTCCCAGAGCAAACTGAACAAACACTCGACAGGGTGGTCCCTTGAACATCTGTTTAATTCAGACCTGTGGGAGTCCTGCACTTTGTGTAATCAAGCCTGCAATTGTAGTGCTGTCAGAAAGACAACACTAAGGGCACTCAAACATATGTTCACGTGACTTTAACCAACATAAATATTGGTTAATGTGTCTAAAAGTAGACTTCTAATAAGTATCAGGTCAAACATTCATTTTAAATGGCAACCACATAGTTCAGTAATTCGCTTTCAGACTTCAGTTAATACATTATCCTTCACATACTATTTTGCCAAGTTGGAGCAAAAAGTAAAATTTTGGTCTCAAATGAACAAAGTAAGTTCTTCCACAAGTTTTTTTTTTCTATTCTAGTATTTTTAAAGATTCTCTTTCAATTAATGGCTTTCTCCCTGCCAGACACGGAGTGCATGCCTAAAAGTTGTCCTGTTAACAGATTCTTCCAAATGAGTTATGGATCTCTGCAGCTCTTCCAGAGATATCATGGAGACTTTTTGCATAATGCTCTCCTTGCTCAGCTTGTCAGATGAGGATGATGAGGTTTGCTTCCTTATATGCAAAGAGCTTTGACAACCCTGAATTATTTTCCTTCCATAACATTTTGTGCTATTTTCACTTAGTCTGTCATGTAAAACCTCAAGTTACATTTAGTATTTTTACAAGACACTGTGTAAAAAAAAAAATTATGTACAACCGAAAAGGTTTATTGCATTTTTAATGCCTTCATACTAAGCAGTTTTTGAGCAATACGTTACTTTGTTTGATTTACATTCATTAAGATTAGCTTCATGCTTCCCCAAAGAAAAAGGTTGCTTTCATCTGGTAACATCTAAGGTATTTCAGAATAAGTTTAATGAGTTGAGTAAGCTGGCCCCCGGTGTAGAAATTGTTTAGTCAGAGAACAAGTCTCAATCTGAAAGAATGCTTCTTTTTTTTCTTTTTTTTTAAATTCTTTTACAAGAAAAGCTAATAAATATTTGTCTGGTGCAGGTAAATGAAAGAGAGCGCATTGGTTGAAAAACAAGATGATGCATTTCATGGTGTTCATCAATGCATGTTTCTTTGTGTACACACCCTGACACACAGCTGCTGCTTCCAATAATAAGGAGGTTAACAAGAGCAGTAAAGCCTGAGGGTAGAGCACACTGACGCATTTCCATCCTGCCTGTGTCTCTTTGAGGGCCAAGAGAAACAGTCTGGCATATGGCAGTCGACTGAATGATGGAGTGTCTAATTGACAACCTTCTCAGTACAGGCTTGTGGTTTAACAACTTGCATTCTTTTTTCCAAAAGTAAAATTGCCCATACACGAGGAGCAGTTTCTCTTTAATTTTGAAGAGTTTTAGTAACAAACGTTTCAGATTGTGAAACAGCACAATAAATGTAATTAAATGACCCGCAATAATCCTTTCACTCCAGGCATCTGTCTCCGTCTTGTGCCATAATCTCTGGTTACAGTTTTGTTTACTATATTTAAACTGGAGCAGATTGAGACTTAAAGCTCGACAGGGTTATGAAATATGCAGGAAAACATGTCTGAGAAGAATCCAAGCAATTATTTATTCCAAACTATTGTGGACCAAGAATGTTCTCTTTAAAAAAGGATCATGAAAACTAGAAAAATAAAATGCATCGCCTTAGTTCTAAAGTCCTTACACTAGCTTCCTGTAGCTCAGAGAATAGACTTTAAAAATAACAATATTAATTTATAATCACTCAATAGCTTTGCATCAAAATACATAAAAAATCTGCAACCTTATGCCTTCTGATTCAAATTGTTCCTGCATCCCCAGAACCAGATCCAAACAAAAAAGTAGCATTCAGTTTGTGTGCTCCACTAATCAGGTACAAACTTCCAGAAAACTGCAAAATAGCTGAAACAGTTCCTTTAAATCAAGGCTAAACCCCACTTGCTTAGAAATGTCTGATTAAAGTCAACTGGAAAACAAATTAATTCTACTTTTCATTACAATGTTTTTGAGAAAATGTGATATTTGTTACTCATTTTTCTCTCTAATCATGTAAGGCATGTTCAATATCCAGTTAATAAAACATGCTATACAAATAAACTTGCCTTAAAATACTGCTTCTCCAATAAATACATCCAATTTATGTACAAGGTGTCTACATTTTCTGTTTGCTCGTTAGTGTGAAAAACTTTCTCTATAAAAAAACATGACATGGTAACTAGCATCAAGGTACAAGTAGGCTTTAAAAATTACTGCTTCAAAAATGTCTTTAAGGTAAATCTGTTTTAAAAACTAGAATTGAATGAAAATTTTGCTTGAATTGTATCAGTTAAAACACTGAAGGGAATTTATTTTTACACAAAACTTACTTTCAGTCTGGAACTATGTATATATATGTTTTTTTTCCCTATTTTGTTTTGAGCCATCACCAGTCAAGTCAAACTTTCTCTCCAAATATTTTAAAGAAATGCTAAAAACCTACAATCAACTCTCATCATGCCAGTGATGACAGAGACATGCTATGTTACACCACAGTAAACACCAAGCTGTACGCAACAGCAACGCTGTACGCAACAGCAACGCTGTACGCAACAGCAACGCTGTACGCGCTGCTGTTGCGTACAGCTTGTGATGTATCGGTTGCCTGGATACATCACAAACACAGTTTTCATCCTGTCTGCATGTTTAGTGATTGTGTAAACATATCAAACAGAAGCACTGTCCCTTTCGTATCAGCAGTCCCTGCAGTATCCTGACAGGAGTTCACTGTATGCCTTTACACTGTGCATGTGAGCACAATAACTCCTGTCATGTATTTTTGTCTTAAGCTGCAGAGTCTCATATCTATTCAAATAATGTCTGAAGCCCCCCATTGTCTTTTTTTGTTTTTTTTTGTGCTTTACTTTCAGCTGCCATTATACATCTGGCTAAGGCGGTCGGCAGTCTGTGGGGCTCTGAATAGTGACCTCTGCTTCACCCTGTAAACTGCAACTTATTGGATGTGGTGATATATATGAGAATGCATGCAGATAAAATCCAGAACATTTCAGGAGCTGAAGGTTTGAGATCAAGTAAAACAGGTTTAAAAATGTGAAATGGAAAAAAAAAAAAAAAAAGGACAGAAATGTTGAATTATGTTGTTTCCACTGACTATCTGTGATTTATTTTTAGCTGGAAGAATCTGAAACATTCAAAAACAATAATGAAAATAATATGTACAGGAGATAAATGCATGCGGTTCAACCTTGAGGCTCACTCTTTCTAATCCATCATCTTTGAGGTTTTGGATCAAGAAGAAACCAGCCACTGCCTGATGGACACAGTGTTTCATTGCACTCTGCTGCGTGTTTCAAAGACAATAAATAAACAATTATCATACTTTCCTAACCCTGCTTTGCACAGCCATCTGGTGACTGACTAGTGGCTAAACAACAAGATTTCCTTGATTTTAGAATAAAATGTGCCCATAAACTGGAAAGTGCTGCTCATAGCAACAACCAGAAGTTTGAAACCTCAAGCAGTCAGTCAGTTCTGCTAAATGAACACGTGTACATAGAAACTAGGAGAACATGTGTGAGATTTTCAATAAAAGCACTTTTAAGTTGTTTTGGAAAGAAAAACTTTAAAGTTGTTCGGGCAAACCTACTGACTCACTTTTGTTTCATGTAATGATGAAAATAAAATAAAAAAACATCTATTATGCAAGTCTAAACAGGCAGTACTTGCACTCACTTTCATTGCATTTTACTCTTTCAGGTCTGCGATGGTTATTAATGAATCTCTGCTTTTGAATACTCCAAGCATTTTGGGATAAAGCGAGTAAAATTTTATTTTCTACTCGCTCACAACAAGGTTTGTTCAGGACACTGGTAGTAATGCTGCGGGTTGGACCAGTCTCTGAACAAACATGCTTGTTCCAATGGTCAAACAGCCAAATTAAACATTGCATTATCCTTCCTGGTTATAATTTCCATACACAGAGCAGCAATGTCAAATGTCATTTCACACTACAGCAAGTGCCCAGAGCAAAATATTACCATTCCTGCACATTTTGTTGAGATTTCGACCTTTTCTGCTTGTTCAGACTCAACATGTAATTTGCTATAATTTACCCACTTCATGGAATAATGGAATTACAGCAGGACAAGCAATGGACTTCCTCAGCTCATTTCCTCTCTGATGAAAACATGTTTACCCCTGCTTTGAATTTGTTAAACAGACTGAGCTGTTCTGCACTCTCTCTCAAATCTCCATATGCATTTTTTAGACAGACATTTATTTGAAAGTTTGTGAAACAAAAAATAAATAAATGTAAACTTCAAAATGTTCAGTATTGTGCATGTTTAAAGCAAAAGTGCATGCAATACAGGATTTTATATGACATGCATACACTATCAAATCTAATTTTAACTAGAGAAATTAATACATGGCCAAAAAAAAAAGTGAGGTTATTTAAACATCAAGTCCCAGCAGTCTCCTTTAAATAAATATGAATCTAAGAGTCTCTTTCGTTAGATGTTTTGCACTCCTCCAGATGATTTGGATGCTAAAGTGGCTTTTTAAGGAAGTGCTTGGAGAATGTAAACTATGACAAAGTGACATAACTGGGCGAAACTGTCCCATTAATCATCTCCCAACACTCTCACTCTGCAGTTGTGATGTCAGCAGCCTTATCAGTGATCATTGCAACCATAAATTGCTCACGGAGAGAAGAAAGGATTAACTGTTGTTTAGAAGGAAATAGGGTTTTTTTTGCTATTTTTTACCAGTTATGCACTTCTCTGTTGTCTGGGGCCGAGGTGTTTTAGAAGACAATATTTGCATTTGTTTATTTAGGTTATACAATTTTGAAACTATTTTTACAATCATCTTGATTTATTCTAAACACAAAATAAAATGTAAGGAACCATAAACACACACCACAATTACGCACCACTTGTAATAACAAGACCTTTGTTGTTTCTGGGATAATTCAGCTGTAGTTTACGTGCTCCATGAGACCAGAATTGTTTGATGTTTCATCGTGCATCAGCAACATGAAGCAGATTATACACAGCTGTGGGACAGGACTATTTTCAGACGGTTTTCCCACGATTAAAGCAAAGAGGCTCCTTTTTTCTTTGATGTGGTGATGAAATGACAGGATCGGCAAAGCAGACTTGAGTTTAGCTGTCAACATGTTTTACAGCTAGGAGAATGTGCGTGCTTTGGCTCCATTTGGCTCCATCTAACACAAGAGATACTTTTCGCTCATTTCAAATATAGCCACCTCAATGATTATTTTATTTAAACTGGAACAGCAGACCACATTATCATGATCAGCATTATACTGCGTCTCTGTTAAACACATTTAACAGACCGTCTTAGACCATCTACTGTGCTTTCAAATTTAGATGCTTCAAAGCAAACAAATATTTGCATCCAACAAACATAGCCTGGCTAAATACAATAGCAAACATCAAAATGATATTTAAGAAAAAAAGGTTTTCCAAACCAACTTGAGCATGTTGTGAGACAGGTTCTACTTAAGTTTCTGGGTTCTGGTAGCAATGAAGCCAGGCTGCTTGAACAATTGCTTTTCGATAGAGAGCCTCGGAGTCACATATTTTTGGCCTAAAAATATACAAATTTCAGAAAATAAAAACATAAAAAAAGAAATTTGCAAAGTGGCAGAAACCTTTTTACAGTCTTGCCTTAAAAAAAAAAAAACAGATCAATCCTCATGTGCTGCATTCTCTGAATGACAACATGTATAATAGTTTCTGAAGCATCAATAAGCTTCAAGACCTAAAGTTTGCATTCAATAAGGCTAAAGGTCTTTTAATATTTTATTTTTGGGTAACAAGAGAACAGAGGAGCAGGGTCGAATGTCTTTGCAATATGCTAAGCATGGAACAACATGTGGAGACAATTAGTTACAGATTGTAATAACATAGAATTAAGATTAAGTACTTCATGTTTCTCTGTGTGGCATGTAACATTCATATACGTAACATTGTGGCTTCACAAACATCCTCTTTGGAAACGACCTTCTGAAGACCAAAATAGAGCTGAACCTCAAAGTAAATTTGCATTAAACATGTTTTTTTAAGCACAAGTTATTTAAGTATAATACTGCAATGTGAACTCTTCCCACTCTCATGGGTGACGTTAAGCTTTCCAATCATGCACGAGCATAAATCCAGTTTAATGCCTTTGCAGACATTTTCTGTAATTACCAACTAGATGACATGATGCTCGAACGATGTACATGACCAACAAGCTTACTCCTCCAAACTCTTAAGACAGGACTGCAGAAGCTTTTGCTGTGGTATTTTTTAGTGGGTAGCTTTCAAATACTAACAAAAAATAATAATAATTATTTGACCAGGTGAAGAATTTTTTTTAAAATAAACACTAGCATTTCTAATACAGCCTTTTCCCTATACAAATGCATTTTTGTAGTTTTTTTCTTGTGCTGACATGGATTACCAGATCTGCAACAAATAACTACTCCACTCCTTCAAGGATATATTTTGGACAAGCCAATTAATTTATATTTGTATATGTATAAAATAGAGAGTTTTTTTTTTTTTTTTTTTACTTCAATGTGACATCTTGTTGTCACATTTTCACTGTAATATCAATGTCTTGTGATATACTCTATGGATGTTAGCTTTGTTAGGTCTGCCTCTTATCCTGTTTGTTTCAATGACTTCCAGTTCATTTCACCCTAAATCTGCAACTTAGCATGTCTTGGCTTTACCACTACAACTGTGCAACTGTTACCTTTGCAGAGTGAGGCTGAGGTTGCCGGTACAAGCTTTAATCTTGTTCTGAGCCTCCAGGTGATTCATGCCTTCTGAGGAAATGCCATTGATGGAAAGGATGATATCTCCAATGTTCATCCCGGCTTTAACTGCCTTGCCTCCGTCAGTCAGCTGCAGTGAAACAAAAAGCATAACATGTAAGTCCAGCGTTACAAAAACATGGTGGGTCTCAAAAGCTCTTTAAAAAGAAGTATTGTCATTCCTCGAAAACACCTGAGGAATTAAAGTTATGTAAGCACATTTTGTTTATGTTTGGGACCACTAATCATTACGATCTCTTTTCCCTTTCCTGTCGTATCTGATGAGATAGGAATCTTATTCTCTGCACAACATTTATTAAAGAAGACTGGATTTCCACCATCACAATCTGCACATAAAACACTACCCACAAAATTTTACATAGACTCATTACAAAAGAAATCTTATTGAAGCCACATGGTTTGAAATATTACAGCTTTCATTTAAGAAACTTCTTGGCAATGATGTAAAGAATATTCAGTCTGGACTGAAGCCAGCTCCAGCTCATTGTCCTATAATTAACCCATTTTGGGAAGTTTGGGTGCTGAAAGTTTAATCTCTCTGAGTTCAACTCTTTTCCTAACTTGATAAATTTTTATGTGATCGCACATGAATGTTCTTAAGGTATTTTTATTAATTATAATAATCTGTAAAGAATTTGAATTTAATACAATCAACTAACAGAGCCGTTCTTGAATCAGATAAGAGGCTGAGGGTAAACGCAAAAGTAGATGGGTAAGAGTTTTATTTCTAAAGCACCTTTCACAGATTAACATAATTTTTTACAATATTAAAAACTATGTGTTGAAAGAAGTGCACACACCATCTGTAAACATTTCTGACATCTTGAAGATTTGCCAAAGCAAATAAAAAGCGAGCAGAGCATAACTTTTTACTATGGGTTCCATAAAAATCCAGAAGAGGACAAAGTATCACCTGACGGTTTTCATTATGAAAGCTTCAACAGGGTCTTAAAAGGAGTGTTGCACACAGAAGCGAGAGTTAAGACTGAAGTTTCACCAGATCTCCCATCAATTTCCCCCATGCTGAGACTTGCATTTCACACATGGGAATAATGTCATAAAATCGTTACCACTGGACAACACCCTTTCAGGTGTGATGACTGATCTGTCATTACGTACACAAGCACCTCATCAATCAGTCAGCACGCTCTTAACACGCTCAAATCCTGCACACCTATGCTGGCTGCCAAAAGGACTCTATGTACTCATTATCTTATGTTGTCTTTATTACCTCCATAACTTCATGTCATCCTTCAACATGATTGCAGAATATAACTCAATGGGACAAGACAACTAAATGAACTCTTCAAAGTTCAGTGGAAAGCAGAGTTTTTGGTTATTGTGTCTGTTCAGAGAACTCTGATCACAGATATTGAACTGAATAACAAAATCTCTGAAAAGTTCTAGTATCTGTTATCTTGAATCTGTTATCCTTATCCCCACACAGTTGAGTGAAACTATTTATATGAACAAAACTGATAAGGGAAGAGAATCAACAGCAACAAAAAAAGATATCCTCTTTCCTCACTGCTAAAGAATGCATTCAGGTTGGGTAACTGAAATGTAGCCATTGTCCCATTGTGTTTACTCTCAACTTAACAAAATAGAGGAAAAGAATGGGAAGGGGAACGAAGGAATGAGGAAGTGACAGCATCTGTGCTGAAGACTGCCACTTTTTTTTTTTTTTTAAGTCTTGAAAAATTCTTTCTTCCACTCACTTGTTACTTGATCGGTAGCAGGAAGTCTAGAACCCAAAGCTGAAGCTGATGTATGCATACCGACGTCTAGGGCATCTATAGTGCGGTTATACCACTCACAAAAGCCCAGTGTGCAGACAGGCTCTCTGCTTTAACCAAATCACTCGCTCATTACTGGTGTGACGCACAGTCACAGTCACCTACAAGCATTTAGTGAAACACATAGGTACTTTTAATCAAGCAACCCACATTCTCAGTTTAATAATCATTTTTACAACTTTGGCTTTTCTCATGTGTTATGCCTTGTTGAGTTTCCACACTGCGCTAGGCAGTGGCTTTACAACTGCATAACATTGGCGGAGAGATGACCTTACCTCGGCCTTTAATGCACAATAATGTCTATGAAGGACAAAAGTACAGATCGATTCTCAGACTCTTGTTTTGATTTGGAAAAGTGTGTTTAAAATTTATTTTCTCAACTTTTAAAATCTCTTCTTTTCTTTGTAGCTCAGACTTTCAAGTCCATAAAGTCTTCTGAATCCCACAGTACAAGAGAAAAGTAATTTGAATGCTACGCAATCACACTCACATTTGTACGCTTGAACAGAGCAGATAAAAATACTTCGTGGCTCCATTTCTTAATTTCTTAAGCATTTACATCAAGCACAGACTTTATGCATTGTCAACAATATTTAATGCTTTAATTTGTGGTGAACAAACTGTACTTTGTACATCCCAAATCCCCCCCTCCCACCCAATCACTCATGGGGACACAAAACAAATAGATGTTGAGTAAGAATCTCAGGCATGTGCAGTCTATAAATATAAATCAAGTGAGGTCTGAGTGAGACTCGTGACGGAAAGCAGATAAGCAATAAACAGTGACATTCACTGCTCTCCAAAGAGAGAAATAACATTGCGTTTTACCAAATCTATTGGTTTTATTCTATAATTTCACATGAACCATTAAAACATAGAATAACATATAATGGTTCAAGATTTTGCAACATAAAATGGAAAAGGCCATGTAATGGGTGTGTAAAAATATAATTTAATTACTGGAGTGGTTGATGGTTATGCTTTTTAAATGAATAAGAGTATCTGTCCAGCTACATTTACATGAATGGGATTTCAGCCATAATATAGTGAGGTTGCCGTTTCGTGGTTTCTTTCTCCACACTGGTGAATTTACTGCTGTGGAGTCACTAATAATGACTGGTTCTTCCACTGTGGTTCTGTAAATGCAGTAAGCTGGGAGCTGGTAAAACAAGCCATGTTCTACAGCACTAACTGAGAAATTATGACAAATCTTACCAACATTGTCCAAAAAGAAACAATAAACATACAAGCAAGATGCCAAAACTGTAATCTAATCCTAGATTAAAAGATGCCTAAAATACATTGGTTCTACATGCACTTCAGTGTAATAGTCACATTTTTTTAAAAATTTGAATTTTCTAAAAAAAAAATTCACTATCCACCTTCAACATTTTATGGAACCGCTTCACACTTCAACACGACAAAGACACGGCCACCTCCCTTGCTTCTCAGCGTGCAACTTCCTGCCTTCAGTGAAAGTACGGAATAAGGAAGAGGATTGCTTCATATCTGGGGCGTCATGCTGCAGGAAGTATATTGTGGTGGGAGCTGGAAGGCCAGTAAGCTGCTTGTCACAACTGTGAAGGATGTAGGAAGACAGAGAACCTTATACGGAGAAGTCTTGAGTTTAAAGGAAAGGCTCACAGAGCCTCACTATGTCACAATGCTGCCAGATAATATACCTCTGAGTTAATCTAAAGCCACTCAAAAGGAGACATCATAATTAGGCACAAGCCAGTATGAAATTATGACAGAAAAATAAGCTAAAAATATTACAGTTTCAGGTTTCACGGTGTTATAATTCCAGTGCAAAAATTGGTTAATTTGCAGTTTCTCTAGGATGATTTGAGGTCAATGCATAGGTGTATTTTTATGCATTGTGAGCTGATCTTCACTCTTTGACATAACCAGTTGCTGCCAAGCCACCGCTCTTCTAAAAGAGCAATTCGGACCAACATGAATTTAACTGGAGTCTCAAATTAGTCTTCCACTTAATTCACAAAATACTTTGAGTCCTCATGTAACAAGTTGCAAATATAGATGATTTCTGTATATAATTTACTTCTAGGGGAAGCTTAAGTCCTTCAGTATTTAAGCAAGAAGCTGCAGTTCTTCTATAAATGTTGTGGAGAGTACACAGTCTTCCATCATCATCTCTTAGCCAGTGATTTAAAAACAAGCTCCTTAAGACAGTTGTTTCTATAATGAGGCCCACTCTGGAGCATGTTGTAAGAGAATTATTTCTAAAATAAAAAATATTATACACAACCCTGAGAATTTTCTTCATCTTCAGTCAAAGGCTTCTTCAGAACCACTACAGGAAATCCTTTCGTCCCCAACCATCAGCACCTACAGCATCTCTATGAATGGAATTGTATTACAGTGACATTAGATTTGCCTTTTATTGCTTTAAATTGAATAATGCTGCTAAATCAGTAATGTTGAAGTTCCATGTAGTCAATTTGTATTTATGTTGAGCAGTAGCACACAGCAGGGGACAGGTTGTTCAAATAGCACAGGCTCATCTTCTCAAAGCCAAGCATCCCAATTAAGGACATGAACAGAGGTAGATAAACTGCTGTCATGGTTTGATCCCAGTCTGTTACTACATAAATCTGGCAGCTTGAAAACCTGAGATGCCAAACAAACCTTAAAGGACCTCTTAGTCAAATTGCCATGACGACACAAACAAAAACACATAGCAAAGTACCGACCCTGCACTGAATACTAAAAGCTCTTTATAGACAGGTCCAGAAAAGAGCCAGCTGGTTTAGCCTCATCAGCAAGAAGATATGGAAGAGTTTGAGCCAAGAGGCAGAACTGGATCCCAACTCCATCCTGTTCGGTTTGAAGTGAAACATTCAAACAGCTTTCTGCTCCAGTAAAAGAACAACACAAAAGATACCCAATGTTCTTCCAAAACATTCTGCTGCGCTCTAAAACATTCATCACTATGCATGCCCAACCATATTTTGACAGTGGCATAAAAAAATGCCAAAAGTTGTAGTCAAAGCTCTCCCTGTAAAACAGATCATGAGCTTCAGCATGCAGGGTTTTTTGTTGTTTTTTTTTTTGTCACATGGAAGAAATTTTAAAAAAGTATAATTCCTCCAAAAAGTTGTCTAAATCAAAATAAAGTGACAGCACAGCTACTTTTTATAGCTCTGCCATATTGCAGGAGGGAGCTTGAAAGCAGATGCCTTCCTAAAAGCTTGAGGCAGACACAAAACAATCATACCGGGATCAAACACATACTGCAGTGAACAGCTATCCATATGGAACCTGAACGCATCTCCAGGAGCCTGCACAACTGATGGTTAAGGAAAATACAAGCTGCTTCCCGGCTAAGCAGCACAGACCACAGCTTGTCTGTGTGGTTTCCGAAAATGCAGGGTATGTATTTTTTTCCCCTTTAACAGCTTGCTTTTATTTGTTTCTGAACCAGCACTTATGGTAAAGTCCAAACAGCCAACATAATGAAGAAGCCAAAGATGATATTAGGTTTTGAGTCGCAATATTTTCTTTAATGGAAGGCATTTTACCTAGATCTATGTTTTTGGGGTAATGTTTTCATATTGCATTAAAATTTGAAACCTTTTCCCTGAACCTGCCAAGAAGCGGGGGAAAAAAATCGAATAAACAAACACGTTAGGTACTTTAAGTGTATATAATACTTCTTTTACTATAAGCAAGAACATTTCTAGTACAAAATGCTTCCTAGAGTAAGTTTCCGCAGTATTTTATGGTGGTTTATAGAGGTCTGTCGAGTCTGCGGAGAGGAAATTAAACTGCAGTTTTGGCCACCGTCTCGTGTGCTGGATTTAAGAGTTTCAGAAAACTGTCTGAGAAGAATAATGGTTGGTGAGTGAAGGGGCTGTTTAAAGGCAGATCAAAGAGAGCAGTAAAAGACTGCTCCAAACAAAATTAAACAATACTTCCATAAAGGGCAAGTGTCCCAATTAATGTTGGAATATCTTTGGGAGGAATTTGGTCTAAAAAGCTTGAAAAATTTAACTAATCAAAGTTAACACTTTAAAAAAAAGTATATTAAATTTACGTTCAACCTTAATGGCTACCAGGATCATTTTTATGGCCTAATTCCTATTCAGATAGAGTGGAATTAACTTCACTATACTAAAAATAAAGTGGCTAAAAGCAGTGCATTACTGCAAAGCTTGCTGCAGAAACCAACCTAAAATTAGCTTGTCTGTTTTCAGAAAGTATTACAAGCCCTTACAACAGCAAATAAAAGGAAAATAAAAAGAAACCGGCCCAACGGACAAAGAAATAGATTCGGCGCTGCTCCCCCAGTATACGCATTTCAATGTGGGAGAATAAAAACCATATTTTCCAGCTGTGGAAAACAGTCAAAAGGGAACTCTGAAAAGAAGCGCAGCAGCCTTGTTCTAAATGATCTGGAAGAGTCGCAGGGAAAACAAATCGTGGCACCCCTCCACCACACATACACACAAAGACACACACACACGTATATAATTGAGTCCTAGCTCCATAAATCATTCATGAGGTACTGGGTGGTCCTAGTTTGAACAATTAACGGCACTGAATCAAGTTTGTTATTTAACAAAACGTCAAATACAATTTCAGTCTGAATAGTGTAGTCCAATATATTGTATTGGATACAATGTAAAAGCTGTGCAACAACATTTTGGTGGATATGACTCTTATTGCATCTCTTACCGTCATTAAGAATTATTTTAAGAACTAAAGCCCAAAATTCCCTATATGGAAATCCCAATAATTGTCTATGGTCATTCTGCAACTAGCCTTATACTTTGTTATTATAATCGTTGAATAACTTGCATATGGTAGGCATATGAAAAATCAAGTCGTTACATCAATACTCTATGGTAACGTCATTTATCAGAGCAAAATAAGTTCAAGCTCAGATATCTTGTCAACAGATGCATACGCCTCAACATGGTAAGTATATTTAACATCGCAGGTCTCTAATGAACCCTGAAACAAGCTTGAGGTCAACATAGTTTTCTACCTCACCAACTGAATGAAGGGATTAAAGGAGTGCCTAAACTTTTTGCAGATGTTTGTAAATGTGTCTTGAATCGTTTCCAATAATGCTCACCATGTCTAAATTGAGATGAAACTATATAACATCCCACCACACAGTCAAGACACAAACCAGCCACCAAATTATAAACCGAGGATAGATTCATCAGAGATTTTTGAAATAAAATACAGACTAGTAAGAAGACATCATGAGTCTCTTTCCCCTCTCTTTCTGAAGAAGTACAAAGCAATGCTTCACTTCGAACTTCATCTGAAGCTGGTTCACTATACAAATTAAGCAACGTTGCACAATATCCTGCCACCCTTCATTTACAGATTATTTTATTTGTTTTTCCAAACTTTAAATAATCTTGCACCACCCTACACCTCTGAGATTTTACAATGACTTTGCCTCTCCTGTTTAATAAGATCAGAAGAGTAACTGTGAATGTCAGAGGCTTTTTTGCCGTTTTTCTTTAGCTCACATCTGAAAATAAATTTTTATCCTTAGACTTTTGACAAACCACATCTGAGAAAATTTTATTTGTTAGAATTGCTTTACAGCATCTTTTTCTGTATTTTCCTATTTGTGTTTTTAATTGCTCATACTAGTATAGAAGAGATATTTCTTCAGTATCTCTTCTGAAGAAATATCAACAACTCTCTTGTTTAAGAACAACAGCAGAGTTGTTCTTAAACAACTCTCCTGTTGTTTAACTCAAGAGTTAAACAACAGGAAAAAACTTCACCTTATGTCACATTTTACATTCATAGAAGTTTGTCAAATAAAGTTGGCTTGGCTTCTACTTCTAAATATATTTTTTAAATTGTTCAAAGAATTGGGAAAAAAAACAATGTTTAAATATAAAAAAAAAACAAAATGATTGTCATGTTTAGACTAATGACTGCATGCAATTGTCTGGACATTAACAGACTCACCTGTCACTTGTTTTTTCCTACTGTACTAGTGCTGTTGGGGGGAACTGTGCTGACAGATAAGCTTCTACATGAGGACGTGCTTCACGCTTCATTCATCAGCTGCTTTCATTTTGACAAGAGGTCCACTGACAACATAATGTCCCACATACCAATTATTATCACGGTAGCGAGACTTAAAAATAGTATGGAAAACAAACATTGGCCTTTCTGTTCTCTTTGAGTGGCTGCGCCTGAACACTGACGGACAGATCACCAAATGAGAGGCATAATTTCTTTGCACGCATGATATGACATTCCATAAGTGATCCTGCCATCAACAAATAAACAGAGGAACTGACCTTGGTCGTGACACTCAGATTAGAGTTTCATAACAGGAAGTGGCGAAACCTGAGCGACTCCCCTCTCTTTCTGGAGAAGTACAAAACACAATCCCTACGGATGGAGAACTAAATGGCAACTTTAGTTGTGTTTGCTGAACTGCTAATGTAAACAGAAGGTTTCTTTTTAATTTCGGTAGCAGATGCTGTAACACAATCCTTGAGAAATGTCCTCCTCAACCAATTTCATAAATTATGTTATTGTGCATATTCACGCCAACAAAAAGCCATCCTGCTGCCAGAACAGATTGAAAGGTCCTGGTCAGTCCACTTTCAATTTATGTGGCAGAACGTCCCCAAATAGTCATTACAGAACCACAGTGGCTCTCTAGGGTTACACTCAACTCCTTCCACAGTCCACACCATGTCTCCTGTGTCTCTAATCAGGAGAAATACCAGAGAAGAGGGAAGGTTACTTATCCCTCAGTCAAGTGACTAAATGACAATAGTCATCAACACCCATTTGCTTAATCTATGAAATATGTGATTCATTTTCCAAATGAACAGATTATGTCTAGATCCTGTTGTGCAATGTGATTTTGACAACAATAGGCAGACAGGAGGAGTGTAAAAGCCTTGAGCAACAGACCACAAACTGTAGAAAGAACTGTCCAAAACCAGAAACAAGAGCAGCACAAGAGCCAAATGCTCCTTTTGTCACTGAGGAAGCAAATGGCAAAACATGCTTGCTTTGCATTCCTTTGAGATGACCATCATGAAGTGAAGGGTACATTTGCATGTGCGTGTCCATCCCCTACTCACCCGTGAGATGGTGAGGGGCAGGCAGAAGTCCTTTCCTCCTTGCAGTCTAAAGCCCCACGGGGCAGGGCTGGCCAGGGAGACACTGTAGCTGCTGCTCATGATGCACCTAGAAACACACATTTTCTTAAGCACTTTATACTGTATCTATAATAACAGAGTTTCAAACATCAAAGCATTTCATTGATACATCATATAATTAGCCTAATCAATTTAGAAGATCCAAAATAAAAAAACACAGATTTCAACATTTTCCATGAATAAAACGCTAAATAAGTGGGGAACACATTAGTATCCATCTCCCCTGAGTCGATCCTCAGAGAAACTTTGAACACCCAGTCCTGTTTTTTCTTTTTTTTAAGAATTGGCCCAAGCTCAGTCAGAATGGATTTATAGAATTTGAGCAAAATTTTTAAGGATCAATCACTAAATTTGTATAATAAATTAATATGGCGAGATTCAATTGCAAACCTTTTCACAATATATCTGGCTGCATCTTTAGTTGCGAATTGGTGTAGTCAAAAGGCCAAAATAGAAGAATACAAAACAACATCAGCAGCCACATTGTCACATTGGTGGAAGGTCATAAAGTCTCTCTTGGTCTCCGCCAATTAGAGGCCCTTCTTACATGTGTCTCCTATGTGCCAGCCATGGCTTGTGGTAAACTTTAAAGAGGGCTTCTTAGTTTTCCTCCCATCATTCCTCCGAAAATGGCGTATTCATGGAGTTAACAACCAGTGGTTATACTGTTAACTGTTTTCTGAATTGTTGCAGTTTCTACACAGTTACCAAGCTTCTCTGTTTAATGATCTCTTTGGCCAACTTGTCCATTTATGAGAAGAGCCGCACTTTATTAGGTTTGCGGGTGAATTTTCTCAATTTTAGAAAAACAGTTTGAGCAGTTCCTTGTGGCGCGTGTCCCAAAGTTTGGGATTCTAATTTATAACCAACTTGTTCAGTACTTCATCCCTCATCTTTCTCCTGTGCTCCTCAGTGCCCATGATGGCGTTTGTTCACTTACTTTTTCCCAGAAGTCTTCATGGACCAGATATTTGTATTATGTCAACAAATGTTTGACGGGTGAATTTTGGATTCAATGACTGTAAGGCCTTACTTTTTTTTCCTGCTTTTCATTTAAAAACAGTTGGAAACCACAAACCAGTCTCCTTTCACATCACAATCATGCACTACTTCTTGCTAACCTGCCAGTTAAATCCTTTTAAAATGCCTTATTTGTAGATTTAATTTGGTAAAAGTTTAAAAAGGGTGGGAATACTTTTGCAAGGCACTATAATGACTAAATCCATTTAAGAGCAGGAATACATGAGAAGACTAAACCTGTTCTTTATATTTTGTCAACAAGATTCAAATGTCAGACTCAGCCATTTTAGAGCAGGTATTTAGTTGCTTAACGAGGAAGACTATGGCGATGAAGAGTGAAAGTGATTCTGCAACAGATTGTGGCCAGTTTATATTTTGAAATATATAGATTGACAGCAAGGGAGAAAATAGAGGATGAATGTGTAATGCTTTGTGTAAAACATTTAATGATGCTGACTGAATATCCAGCTGAGTGAATGCAAGGCTAGAAGTAACTACTACAAACTGAAGGTAAAACATGTTCCAAGCAAAATCTTTTTTTTATCTTAAAAAGAAAATGAAAACCATCTCAATCAGCATTTTAAAGCTATTTGTTGAGCACATTATGTTAGCAATCTGTCACTAAATGTTCTGCATCAGACAAGCAGCCTTTCTTCACGAGAAAAACAAGTGAAGCCACTTGTATACCTACTTATTAAGGGCAAAAGACCAGCACTGTTTTGAACATAATTCAAACCAAGTGTAATCATGCCAACATTACACAGAGGGTAAAAAAAAACCCAACCAAAACCAAGGCAAGTAAGGCATTCTGAAAATTATGAGCTGTGAGGGAAAGGCATCATTACTCCAGTTAAGCAGGCAACATGTTGATTTTCATCTGTCCTTTTGACACAGAGTCCACAAACTCATACCTTGGCTTTAGAGCTCAAGAGACCTGACAAAATGTCTTCCATGCATTGATATTTAGCCAAAACCCTGCCTCTGTTAATCACAACGAGCAAAGAGACAAGATGTCGTTCCTCACACCACTGCTGTGGCGCTGGACCTGCGCGAGAAAGAAGTGAAGACGAGACACACCCTTGATAGCGAGGGACTTGTTAGAACTCAGATTTCACTGGTAACTCAAAGTTATGCAAGCTTTCCGAGAATTACTATAGATCTAAAAACACCTGAGTCGCTCCTCATTTTCAAATGTGCAAATATATTAGTAAAGCCTCAATTAGAAATTAAAAACATCAGGAAGGCAGAAAGATGCATGCAAGCATAATAATATTTTATGCACCATCAAGTTTCATTGTCTAATGCCTGCCTGTTATGCATTCCTTTTCCCTTGAAACACTGAAGCTTTAAAATACTTACTGGAAGCAAGACTGAGGTCAAGTGGGGTGAAATTTGAAGGCTTGGTATACTGTAAAATGTATGAAATTTTACAATATAGCATAAGCTAGGGAACTGTTAAACCAGATTTGCAGAATACAGTTTTTTTAGAGGAAGGTGTGTGTTCACAACTTCTATCACTTAACAGTCATGTGGAAATGTTACTTTGCCCCAACCAAACAGGAAGAGAACATGCAGACACCAAAACATCAAACACCACATGCTCTATGGTATGTTTACAATACTTGAAGAAGAAACTCTCTTCTCTCTTCTATTAATTGTTTCAGTCTGTAAAAGTTGTGTCTTGAGCGGGAACAGGTGACTTACTGTTTCATTTTATTCTAGAAGTTACATATGTAATCCCCAGAAACACAGCTGGGTTAAAAGACGACATCCATTTCTTTCCCAATGAATATTTCATGAGTAAAATGTTTCATCATCCTAAAGGAATGTCTTTTTGAAACTGCCTGTTGGGCTGCCTCTGGGGCAAAGCACCACCTGCTGCAGCCTGTCACCTGGTTTTGTTGTACCAGACGCATGGCAAATCAGAGAGCCCGTTTTCACACAATCTTCCACTCAAGTCTGAAGGAGAACAAGTGGATATGAGGAAAGGAGATGTAAAAGGGACTAAAAATTGGGAAGAAAATGATTTAAAACTACACATAAAAGTGTCAGGGTAGCTGAACACCTGAATTTCATACATTGTTTCCCCAATTGTTATCTGGCAACAAACTGAGTTTTCCCCATTAAAACCTAATTCATCCTACTATCACCATATAGTTTTACAATCCTCATGTTAAAAGTGCAGCTGATTTTTTGCGAAGCATGGGAAATGTTGTTGAACTTCCTTTTATTTTAAATCATACAAATGACAAAAAGAAGAAAAGAGAACTAAAATAGAATGAAAAATGATTGAGAGCAGGCAGACAAAGGTACCAAACATGCCAGTTGCTTTAAAATGCCAAAGAGTTTTCAGCCCTTTCTTTCCTTCATGGAGTAAAAACATTTCAATAAAAAAAGATGGAGAAGGTGTTTGTTGCTGGTTACATAATGCATATGGGCAGATCTGGAAAGACCAGTCAAAAAGACACATTAGGCATATTAAATGAAGAATAAAGTTGGTGATGATGAAGGATTATGTTTTGTTTTTCAAGTCTTGTAGTTAACTTAGATTTTGTTATTTTAAAGAACCACATAGAAAGCAATAGAAGAGATAACCCAAAAACAACTGGATCCGGAGAAAGTCTTGTAGATTATTTAGGTATTATGGTATATATCCAGCAGGTAAAATAAAGCAGTGCTGGCTGGAAACTGCCATAAAGCCAGAAACATCTAAGCCCAAGCAATTTTTTTTTTGCAAATACTTTGGAGTCATGTTACCACACAAAAATCTGTGAATACTGAAGCACAAATGGGGGAATTCGGTGTACACGCAATAAGATGTATATATAAGCAAGTCTTTATAAAAAGCACAGAAGCAAAAGCAGTAATCCATCAGTTCAGCACTTTCTCAAATTACAGAACTATTTCTGAGGTTTCTTCATCTAATATGTGATAGCACCACATATCAGGGATTTCTGTGTTCAGCTAAATGAAGAGAAATGTAAAGAAGTCATAGTTCAGAAAAAATTACTTGGAAGCCATCCTTCACATTGTCAAATGTTTTGTTTACCTTCTCATTAAAGGACTGACCTATGAACCACCAATGCTGACAAACAGCTAATGCTCTGAGGCCTTAAGAGTTCATATTCCTAATGTACAAGCCCTTTGGGAAAACAACACTCTGAACTGTTCAGGCTTGCATATTTTGTAATATTTACTTTCACAGTCAAATGAATCGACTCATTCTGAAGTGGTGAGGTTTGAATCACGACTCCAGTCATGAAAGACGCAGATATATCAATAGCATTACCCAATAAGGAAAGAACAAAGATGAGGCCCATCTCATGCCCCTGCTCGTTTTGTAATCCCTAATGATATCATGCATAGACATGAGCAGACACACCTCTCAGTGTTCTCAAACAGATGAAAAACACTTGAGATGTGCATCAGAATTTCTCAGCAACAGTCACATCGACCCATCTGCAAGTTTGAAAGAGAATTCCCCTTTTGGGCCTTATCTGTCAAGCTCCTATCGTGTTGGCACCACTGCAAAGCATTTCATCCCCTTTCCCCAGATATTAGCTCAGACACTTAAATGGCTCTGAGCTGAATGGTAGGCAGAGCATTTAAATAGTTTGAAAAATGATTTTTTTCTCGAGTGTCTGACTATAAAGTAAATAACACATGCTGATAGGAACAGCTTGAATTTTTGCAGAGTATCTCAACTTCTTAATGAGTTTAAAATTAGGCTACTTTGTAGAAGAGGCTGTATAAATCCCATTAGGATGCCTTTTCATCCTAATGGGATTTATGTTTGTTGTTGAAATATTTTCATGTTGCAACAACAAACACCAATGTGATTCATTTCAAATCTTTTCAGGGCAGAAATCCAGGAAAGTAATCAGTCACACGGTCCACAAATTTGACAGAGAGAATTGAAAGTGCGACAAGAAGAATCCCTATGTTGAACAAACCTTGTGTAGCTTCATCTGAAGTTTACCACAAGGAGAGCTCTGCATATTAAAGAAAAGTTCATCAGAGAAGACCAAAACTAAGCCAAACATTGTGGAGGCAACATCGTGATATTGGGAATGCTATTCTACAGTAGCAACCAATGCAGGACGATGTATTAAGAAAACTGTTTAGAGGCTGAAAAAGACTCAACAGTGGACAGTAACTTTGTCACTTTGACAACAATCCTAGACATACAACTGAAGTTACAATGTCAGGGTTTAGATGAGGGCATATCCATGATGTCCCTGTCAAAATCTAACTCAAAATCTGTGGGAAGATTTTAAATTAAATGACAAATTAGAATGGGTACGCCCAAAAACATTTGTGTTTATGCCCAAGTTTCTTTTTTGTTTCTTACATACAATACTTTAAAAGAGTCTCTAAAGGTCCAAGGGTCATAAATGCCTTTACAAGGCAATGCAAGTTCCCTAATCTTAGGCCAGTACAGTAGATTTCACAATAAAATGAACCACCACCCCTGCAAACAAAGGTGCATTTCAACTGGAAAAGCTTTTTCTTTAATGGCAATCACCACGGGTCACCTGAACTGAATGCCGGAGCCGCTCCCCATCATGACCCCAGCCGCATGCGTCACACCATGATTGTGTCAAACCATGTTTTTTCTTCATGCTGTATTGAAATGAAAGAATGTCTTGAGGTTCTGATGAGCACAGTGTGTGAGACTTTGTCATCTGAAGTGCAAGTTTCTGACGTCAGGCTTATTTTATAGGGTTTCATGAGGAGCTTTTGCTGCTAGGTAATGTTACAGCGAGATATTGACTGAGTGGCCCTGATTTTACTGCACCTGATCACAGCACTTTCACTGAAAACAAAGACCAGAAATCACTTGAAATGCTAAAATACGTTATATTGGACCTCAATCACTCCTGACAAGATCATCAAATGTATACAATTTAATCTTCAAACGCCTATTTTTAAATATCTATGTCTTACTATTGACACTGCTAGCTTTTACACGTTATTTATTTATAGAGACACAGCTGCACTGAGGATAATGAATAATGTAGTCAGTCTGTTGACCCATGTGTTCACTTGGAGAAGGTGCAGGACCACACTGATAAAACATGTTTAAGATTATTACAGCTCTCCGAGATTAAAACTGAAACAAAAACACATCCGCCCACAACAGATAATCACCTGTTTGTTAATTAAACGTTTTCTTTAAAACAAAACAAAACACGTGATTTTGAAACTTCAGATGGAAGTTCTGAATTGCAGCAGCTGCGTAGCGGGAAGAAGTTGCAAAAAAAAAAAAAAAAAAAAAACAATGACGTAAATAAAAATATGAACATTGTGCTCGTCTTACCTCGAGGAACCCGGGTTTGTGTGAAGAGAGAGGAGCGACTTCTGCCCGTCTATTCTCAGCCTCCGAGAAATGAAGTGAGTGGAAGTGAAACTTCCGCCTTTAAGCCAAACCTTTCAGACAGGCGGGGAGGAGGGTCTACTACAGCAGCTCTCTGAGGCTGGGGGCAGCGCGACCGCAGGCAGGCAGGCAGGCAGAGGCTTGTCCTGAAGGTGGGGCAGGAACAAAACGCACTGACTGACCTCCACGAGGCTAAGCTAAGCGCCAAAATTCACTATATAAACATCTAGCACATCTAGTTCAGCTTCACTGTTGTAGTGGGACTTTTTTCTCATTAATGTGAAAGAAAAAAACAAAAAACAGTGTGCAGTTGCCTGGTGGATTGTTATCTTTAGGCTATTTGACTAAAGTTGCAGTATGTGTTGTTTTCAAAAATATGTTCAATATCTTTTTTCCATATTTGCTAAAGCTGTCATTATGTTGTGATAGTATAATAGAGAGATAATCTGAACAGTTCTTCCTTAGCTTCTCTTGCCATCTGCACACTAGAACCAATGAGAGCCAGGAGGAAGGTCTTCGCTCTGTCAAAAAATAACTAATCTGCTGGCTTTGCTAACAAGCCTTAGCATTAGTGGCAGGTTATGCTGTGGTACATCACCTGCACCATAGCAAAGAGCAAAGGGATGAGCATCAGAGGCAAGTACACAAGAGTGATTGACAACATTAAGACTCTCCTCCTGGCTCTGATTGGTTGTTTCTTACTGAGTGGTGCGTTTCTGCAGTTAGTAGGAACACTAGGAGAAGATAGAGGACCTTGACTTTTTCACAATCTGTCTTATACTGTCAAGACATAATAATCATTTTAATAAATATGTAAAAATAATAAAAATAACTTATTTTTATGGAAGTTACACATTGTAGCTTGAAGTTTGACAACAGTTTTTAGAGTGTAAAATCTATGAAATATAGAGCACTTACAGCTTTAACAGTGTACAGATTTCAACAATGCCTTGTTGATGTAATGAGGCTGGTCCAAGGTTGCATGGGGCCCCTTTTCCTGCTAAGAACTTCACCATGGACAGAGTTTTAATACCAGTTTGGTTTGAATCTAGGGGAGGGCCATGTTTAAAAACAATCACTGATAATTGGTGGTATTTGCTGAGATGTATGTGTGAACAAATTTAACTCAAACACAAAGATTAAACTCATAGCATCATATTGTTGATGTGGTAAGACAACAATTAAAATATGAAAATGATTAATTACACTTTAGCAAAGTTATTTGTGTGGATTCCTTTTAATCTCAAATCTGCATGTGTATCAATTTAAAGTCCTGTAATTTATCTATGCAGAAACAGTTAAGTCAAATTTTATAGTGTTCTTATTTTCAATAAGCAAATCTTAAAATCCAACACTATGGTTTATGTTAAAATTTAAGCATTTATGGAGGGTTGTAGGTCTGGTAGCTCTAAGCAGCTGCTTAGGTCTGTTATGCCTTGGGCCAGCTCTGCATCCATTCATCTGGTTTTTGTGGTTTATGTGGATTAAATATTTCAACCATGACTACAATAGAAAATTCCCCTGTAAAGTGATAGTTATTTTTTGTGCTAACACTTTCAAAATTGGCTAAAAATGCATTCAAATTGTAAACTATGTAGGAACCATACTGTTAGAATTGTATTTATACAGTCCTTAGGTAAAGTCTGTCATCAAGTTTTGGTACTTAGAAAATCTGGTTATTTAAAAAAAATTAAAAAAATGAGGGAAGATTTGAAGGAATTGAAATTGCTCAATCTCTTGATTTGCTTTGACCAATTACCGGCATGTCTAACACTGAATGTGATTTTTAAAATACATAAAAAACTGCAACACCAGCATTTCATTAATAATCAACAAACAACACTTTGTTTTGTGTTTGGCAATCAGGTAGTTGTTGAATTTAGGCTTTCAGTTGTAAACTATTCAAATTGAATCTCACTTTTGGAGGGAAACATGAGAAATGAGAGTGCTATAGAACACTGTGAATCACTGTAACAATTGTGAATAGGAGAATAGGAGAGGCAGCAGAAAAAAAATCGCTCTCCCATTAGTTTAACATTCAGAAAACACTGATTAAAAATTATTAGCCCAATTTAATGTCAGACAGTGAGAAATATTTTTGTATTTTTACAAAGTGTGTGTAAATAATATTAGGTTTAAAGGTACTTGCTGCACTGGTGAGTGTTTCTGTGTCAAAGTGGACGTGAGCGACACAGTGTTGACACGCCCTCTAGTGGCCAAAATGATCTTCACAATTCCTGTAAATGTGATACTTTCAGCTATTTGTAATCTTTCATCGCTTGGACTTTTAACAGTTCTGGCCTCTTGTCAACAAACATACCTGTATAAAATCTTCATTCCATTTCTTATTTAGCAAAACTAGATTGTCTTGCCAGGATGTGATGAAACACATTTGTGAGTATGAGCCTGGAGATTTACTGGAAGTTCAGCAGCTAAATCCCCCTGTGTAATTCTCTTGAATCACTCAGCTGCACAAGGTATTCATCTGAGGATCTGTTACATGCCTTCAGAGTATTTTACCTAATTGAGCAAGCACCCTGTCTTGGTTTTAATAGAGAAAGACTTATAATAAAAAAGACTTATAATGTGTGCGTGTGTAGAAGAAGAACCAGTGTGTCACTAATACATTAACTTAATTGTAGCTGAAACCATTATTCAGTTGGTCAATATCACACCCACTGTCACAGTGATAGTGAAATATCAACATCAAGTGCAAAACACTGTGATGTTGGATTTCTTGATTTAAGAAAAAAAATCCCACCCAGTTTATAGTTGATCCTGCCTTCCACATAGTTGGAAAAACTATATTTAATACTTTAATCAATGATAAATATTCCCATATTTGAGATCTAATGTATGTGATTTATTTGCAGTTAAACAACAGAAGGTATTCAACACAATTGTGAATTCCAACTGAGAGAAAGTTGTTTCACTTTTCATTGTTTAATAACATAATGTGTATTTGTCAGTATTGTTAAACCTGAAATATTCACACGTCCAAATATATCAGAAAAACACAAGCTTTCAAATTATTTTTTTATCTGCTGTTTTGCCTGAAGCTGCATTGCATGGCAAATAAACTGAAACCTATAATTAAAATCACGTCACAAAAATTACTTGAACACGAGCTCCATGTAGTTTTAGTGGACTTTTGGTTAAAAAATAAAAATAAAAAAATTGGGGATACTGGGAGAAAGCCTTCCTGTTACTGACTCCCTGTTGTGCTGCAGAGAAATGAAATTATACAAAACGTTTAAAGTTACAGGTGTCAAAATGAGTAAAATTAAATGAAATAAATAAAACTTGAACAAGTTATTTTAAATGTTTGCTGTCCCTTTTTTCTCAAGTAGACCCAACTTTCTAGAAACTTTTATTATCCATGATTATCTTGTTTCACATGGATAAAAATCTGGTTTACCATTATTTCTTATTTTCCTTTTTCAAAACTATGAGAGAACCCATCATTCAAGAAAAGCAGACTTGTGTTGATCTTCATTATATAGCTGAAAGAAATTATCTTTACTGGACAGCAGCAACAGTCAACATAAAAGAATAAAAATACTGAAACAACTAGACCTGTAACAAGACTGGGATCTGAAATTTAGAGAGAAAGCTGTTGTAGGTTTTCTTGTGTCAGATTGCATTACATCAACAAAATACAGATAATTTTTTATGGCTTTTTTGATAAGTATGGGAGCTTTCCTGAGACCAGATTTTAGCCATAAACTAAACTGGGAATGTAAGCTTGTCTACAGAATAAATATTTCCAAAAAGGCAAAGTAATTTGTTTTGTTCACATAAATTATAAATTAATATGCTGGAGTATTTTGAACTTAGCTCTTTCAAATCAAAATAAAAAAAGTGCCTCATATTTCTTTTGCGTGTGTTGAGGCTGAACGTAAAGACAAAAAGTGAATACTTTTATTTTTGTAGTGCACATGATTCCACAAAGAACAAAAATAATTAGTTTTTTATGTAAGCAGACACATAACATGATTAAGTTTTTTCACATAACAAACGTAGACTTTGCATCTTTGGTGAAAAGAGTTATACTTGCTGCTCTTCAGCTAAACATCTGGAAACATGGATCAAATGTTTTTGGGATAAGCTGTGTTGAAACTTGTGCTTCAGAAATGTCGCAGTCTTTATTTGCTGAGCAGAACAGTCCTGAGGTTGTAAACAAACTATGAGATTCTTCTTGTAGGCTTTGTGCACCATGCTATTGTTAGATAACTGAAGGCTTTCATTGAGTTGGATCTGACCTCTCAGGGGGGAAAGACATACACGATTGTCCAAAATTTCTAGCACCCGTGACTCATCCTTGTTTTTCTCTTTCTGGGGCTGCTGTGCCTCAGTGTCTTCACTTTGAAATGCTTTATTCATCGTCCCGCTTTCTCTGTGTTGTTCAGCTTTCAACGTTCTCCTCCTCCAAGCTAAGAACATCTATTCTGTTGATGAACTGATATGATAAACTGACGAAAGATTTTTCTGTGACGTGTTGTCTGGAAAAGCAGCCTGAAACAAAATGCAAAACAAAGACAGAGAACATTACTTCTAAAGACATTTCTGTAGCCATCAAACTTTAAAATTAGTAACTATGTCGATGAGCACCAACATTACCTTATCCTGACTTAGACATTCCTTCTCCTTGAACTGTTTAGCTAAAGAATAACGTTCTTTGACCTTTGCAGCAGCAGGGGAATAATCTGTCTTAGCACAATGACTCTGATCCATGGAATCCAGCTCCACATCACTGCAAACCTGCTTGAAATTAGGTGAACGTAAGTCAAAGAAAGCATTAACTAAAATCATTAAAATAAAGTTAATGTTCATAAAATCTTCAATTGACTTCATATAAATCTGTTTTTCATGTTATTAAGCTTGTAAATTAGTACTTTCATCTAATTTGCGGTTTACAGAATGACTGTGAATTCAAATGTAAAAGGCCTGCAGCACACAAAATGGTTACGCAGATCAAAGATACATAAGGCAATTAGACCATTAAAACAATTAAAAAACAAAACAAATAACTCTAAAACTATTAAAGAGCAATTGTACTGGTTAAAAGTTTGTTGCTTTAAGAATATTTTGAAATAATTGCAAGGAAATAAGATTTGGCATCTTGAGTTCAGACTGATAATTATTCCACTTCATCCACAAGTTGGCACTTTAATGGACCTTTAACACAACTTTTAAAGTTGCATTATACACACTAAGGTCCATTTAGTGTGTATAACATTTGGTGTCTTCAATTACCAAATGACACTTCATGACAACAGTCATAGACATTCATAAAGACTCCTTCATGTTCATGTCAGTCTTATGCACACCCTATCAAATAAAGTGTTGCCTTTCATGAGATTATTTTTAATCTCATGTCTAGAGTTATCTCTTTAAGTTGTTTTCTGTAAAACAGTGACTGCATGCTGTTCTGTCAATAGAAACAGAATACAAAAACCTGCAGGGCTCATACTCACTGTGTCTGTTGTAGACATGGAGGAAACTCTCTGAAACTGTGATTTGGAGACTGATGACTGATGGCTAAGCACCGAGTCCCTTATGGAGGACTTGCTGTTTGCCACTGATATGCAGTTCCTTTTAGGGGCATGGGCCAGGAAGTGTAGACAGGGCACCTTCTCTGCCAGGGTGTCCCTGTTGAAATATTTCTTAAACATTCGCTGAAATAGTTTCCTTCGTATTTAAGCCCTTAGTTAACAGTTAACTAATGTGTTGGTACCTGTATCTGGAGTGAGTGATTCCATAGATGAAAGGGTTGTAGATGGCAGATGCTTTCGCAATAACCGCAGGGACAGCTTTGGAGTATGGATTGAGAATGTGTGCATATCTAAAACACAGTGTGTTGACAAATATAAGCAGAGGTCATGCATGCATTTACTGCAGGATAATATCCAATCATTCATTGAGATTGAATAACGTTCACGAATAATGACCAAAAAGAGCTTAGACTATCAAAATAAATATTTCCACCAAAAGGTTTTATATTTACCCAGCCCAGGCGATGAGAGTGACACACGCATAGGGTGACCAGGAAAGTACAAACACTATGATCACCACAAAGGCAATTTTTGCCAACTTCCACTCAGTCCTGATAGACTGCTGTTGGATCAGGGTTGACTTTCTCACCTGAGACCCCAACTGCTCAACATCTCTGAACATTTGAAAAAGGAAAGGTGCAGATTAATACACCAGCAAATCCAAAAAAGTATGCAATGATATAAAAACTTCAGTTAAACTAAAAAAATAAAATAAAAAAAAATACACTAGAATGGTACTATACAACACACCTCATAACTTTATTTGCCTCCCTTGTATAAAGATCTTATATAAGAGCCACCGTTTTAAAATGGCTGCTTTTTTCTCCACACACCAAGCTTTGTTTACCTTCCTTAACATCTTCACAGCACAGAGCTCAGGATGTTTGTCTGAGCTCCTGCTGTTTTGAGCAGTAATGTATTTTATCACTCAAACTAGAGCCACAGTTTAAAGGGAAAGAAACATTAAAAATGAAAAGCCCCTTATATTCTGTTACCCCTTAATCAAGCCCGGATTGCCTTTAAGTGATGAGTAAATTGAATCCACCTCTATTTGTTTTATAAGGTTCCACAGAGATCCACAGGTCAGGTGAGACAATCTGGTGACAGGACAATTATTAGTTGTGAGCTCCAAAAAATATGGTCCACATGGAAGTACGGCAACAAGAAAAGTCATGGAAAAGATAAAATCACAAGAAGTCCTACTTAAAGTCATCTGTTTTTCATCTCTGCTTGAGGTATTTTGCAAAGTTTTTAAGTGACCCCAGAAGTTGCGAAATTAAAATCTGAATTTATGATTGAAAGATAAAACCGGAGCAAAATACAAATTAATTATACACTTGCTTCTTAAATAATGGCCAAAAATAGAACAAATTGCAATTTTAATAAGAGTGTTTGGGTCAAATGGGTAGCAAAGCGTTTTTTTTTCTTTTTACCTGCTTGCATGACGAATTGCTAGGAACATGCACAAGTAACAGTAGGATATGATGCCCAGAGGGACAAAGAATACGAAGCAGCACAACATCAAAGTGTAACTTTTATTGGCGGGAGTCGATGTCACATAGTCCCATGTGCAGGAGGTCATCAGGCCCTCGGGGATATAGGAACCTTTGGAAAGGAGTTCAACACAAAAAAAGCATAAAGCAGCGCAAGAAATGGTGATTTGAAAAGATTGCTGAAATGACTAATGTACTTACTCCACCCCAAAAGTGGCGCCAGGCTCCAAGCAAGTGAATAAAACCACACTAGGGCAATTATGAGGCAAGTACGTCTTGCCGAAGTCCACCCGATGGACTGCAAAGGCTTGGTGATTACTATGTACCGGTCTATGGAGATAGCGAGAAGGTTTATCATCGAGGCGATTCCAAATAAAGCCCCGCAGAAGGCGTAAATTTTACAACCTGTGTGGGACAAATATGGAAGGAAACTGTTTAATAACATGTTTCTTTTTACATGAGCAACAGAAACTTTCTGCTTTTAGGGAGCATGCTTAAAGTTACTAATATCATCACATTCTGTTTACTGCAATGTATGAAATGCTCTGTTCATAAACAACAAAATAAATTATGCTGTTGTATTTATTTTTTTGCTAATGATGCACAAGTTATTGAATGATAAACAATGTACCTGTTTCCCCAAAAATCCACCCCTTATACAGGCAGTTAACAAAAAAGATGGGTGACTGTGTGATGGCCATCAGGAAGTCGCTGATGGCCAAGTTCATGATGAAGAAGTTGGGAGGTGTCCGGAGCTTCTTGTCGCTGAAAGACACCAGGTTTGAAATGTTGCACATAAGATGTCATTATTTTACAAAGCAATAAAATAGTAAAAAATTGATGTACAGTAATCTTTACCTATGTTCTGGTTTTCCTAAAACATTTGGATGGTGTTAAGCACAAAAACCTAAAAACACTCGTTAAATCCATTTGTGTGCAATTTTAGCTACTTAATGTAGATATAAATGTCAGATGTCCTAATGTATTTCTGACCAGAAAACCTAATTTTACAAGAAAAGTTTTAAAAGTTTTTATTGTTTTGATGCTTTCTTCAACACAAAGAAAGCATAAAGCACCTGCCTGTTCAGTGTGTTAACATTATTTAAATTCTTTAGTATCAATAATTTTTATTTATTTACATTTCTATGTGTATAAATTTTAAAAGTATGTTTGCAATGTTGACTAAATTGACAACATTTTTTAGCTTGCATATTTTGGACACTACACAAATGAAATATTTCAGATATTCCTCAACCCTAAAATTCAATAAAGGTATTTACTGCATGCTCACTCCACCGTAACGAAGCACAGCTGAAATAAGTCCTTAAAAGACCAAAAGTAATATCACATTATTGTCCACAGTTATCAGACAAGTAATTTACTGAAAGAATAACAAATGAATAAATAATAAATAAATAAATCTGGATAATAATCAGTTTGCTTACCAAGAAAAAGCATACATGACCAAGGCATTCCCAGAAACTCCCACTGCTCCGATCACTAAGACGAAGAAGGCAACGATGTAGTGAACGTGGTCTGGGACGTCCACATGCCGATAGAATCCATGTTCTAGATCCATACCTGCGATGCAACCAAAGACGCGTTGAATCATTTGTGAGCATGTCTCAAATTTTGTGCAGCTTTCTCTCTCTCCTTAAACTACTGAACTCTGTTAGATGACATAACGGAGTCGTTCATGAGTTGCTTTCCTCATAGTCATATGAAATCTTCTCTTTGGGACTCAGACATTTTGGACATGTGCCTTTTCAGGTCACACGAACAGGGAATTTCCATTTAGGAAAACAAGATATTCAAGCATTTTATCTAACTGCAAACATTTTCGACAGACACTACGGTATGACACAGCAATAAATGTCAGCACTGATGAGGAATTTTTACTTTGGCACTTTACCAGACTTGAAGGGAAAAAAAATAATCACAGAGAATCTATTGTTTAAACCCACCACAAATTCAAATAGTGAATCTTAAAAATGTTCACACTTCTGTGAAATTTAAACTTTTCTGAGAAGTTAAAATGGAGATTCTAGTGGGGGTTATGTTATACAGTTTAACTGAAACAAACCAATATGTTGGAGGAAATACTGTTACAGCCCCTGGCCTCTTGGATCTGTACAGGGTTTTGTTATGCAGGTTCAGCTGTGATGGCTCATCTCCTGATTGGCTACCTGGAAGCTGCAGGAACTACACCCATTGGACCAGAAGGGAACTGCAAGCCACCAGATGTTAATGAGACTCACCTGGTTCTATAAAAGGCTCCTGGAATCATTTCCTCAGGGGGGACAGCTTGTAGGAGGAGGTTTTGCTCCGCTGTTCCCCACCTTTGATTGTGGTTGTCTGACAATTTTGTGAATATTTTGGTTGTTTTTTTCTGCTAGAGCAGGTTGACTTTGATTTGGGTGACAACACAAGCCAGACATTTGTATTTAGGAGGCTTGCTGCTCCTTTTGTATGTTTGTTCTTTTTTGCATTTTCCTGTTGGTTTATTTGAATTGCTATGGACTGACTTGTTTGGGCACTTTGATTTACTTCGCACTTACCCTTTTTTTTATGCTGTCAGCCCTTTCTTTTGTTTTAATTGGATTAAGTGGTATTGTGTCTTGGTTTTGTGAGAACTTTGTTTCTTTTTGTAATAAATCACCTTTTTATTTATCCCTCCTATTCTCTGGACATTTTTTATGTTACCGCCCTGAACCCCTAGACCAATAAGGGCGTAACATAAGTGGGGGCTCATCCGGGATATACACCTACTCGTTAGGTGGATCCTCTTGTCCAGAGTTAAGAGGAAGATTCTGGGTTATCTGTATTCAGCAATCATGTCAACCTCATTCAGTCTGGAGCACTTTTTAGCTGACCCCTCTCTTGAGCTTATTGGTAGCTGTCACAAGAGTGAACTGCTGCAAATTGTGGATCACTTTCAGCTGCAGGTTCCAAAACAGGTCCTAAAAGGTGACCTAAAGCTTTTAATAGTGGACCAGTTGGTGGAAATTGGGGTGATTAAAAAGTCTGATCTGCCTGAGGCTGCTGCAGTGCCAAGCCAGGAGGCCTTGTCTGTGGAGGACCGCAAAGATGGTCGTGGTGTCAGAAGCAGTGAGTGACCGGGGAGGACACCTTGTACACTCCCTCGCTATGACCCACTGTCTTCTGTGAGTTCAGAAGGACGAGATGGAGCTCGTTTGAAGGTGCGGCTGGCACGTCTCCAGATGGAGGCTGAGGAAAAAGCCCAGGACAGAAAGCTCAGCTGGAGCTTGAGATCAGAAGGCTGGAAATAGAGGCTGACAAAGCTATAAAGCTGCGCAAACTTGAGCTGGAGGCCCAGACTCGAGTGCCCTCTGCCTCTGACCCACCAGGTTCCACCTCCATGTCTGCTATTTCATTCGACATCAGTATATTTCTTTAGTACCTGCTTTTAGAATCTGAAGTTGACTCATACTTTGCAGCATTTGAACGCATTGCTGGTGCTTTGCAGTGGCCTAAGGAAACCTGGCCTCTTTTGTTACAATGTAAATTTTCTGGAAAAGCTCAAGTGTTAGCAGCCCTTCCTTTACAAGATAGCTTAGATTATGATCAGGTCAAAGCTGCTGTCCTACAAGCCTATGAATTGGTTTCCAGAGGCTTATCGACAGAAGTTTCGACAGCAAAAGAAAATTTCTGGACAAACACATGTTGAGTTTGCCAGAGAGAAAGGCATTCTCTTTGATAAATGGTGTGCTGCATCCAAGGTCAATAATTATGAGACCTTGCGTGAGCTGATATTGTTGGAAGACTTTAAAAAGTGCATTCCTGATTGGGTGGTGGTGTATTTGAATGAGCAGAAGGTGAACACTTTAGCATCTGCTGCTGTTCTTGCTGACGAGTATGTGCTTACCCATAAGTCATCTTTTGTTGGTAATAAAAAGTCACATGCTAACTCTGTGCCACAGTCCCAGATGGTCAAAAACGGCCTTTCAAAAGAAAACCGTGAATGTTTTTACTGTCATAAACCTGGACATGTCATCGCTGATTGTTTAGCTTTAGAACGCAAAACGCAGCTAAATCAACAAACTAAAGGTGTTGGTTTTGTGAAAAAAGAACCCCGTGATAGGAACGCTGGTTGTGGTGACAAACTACTGGATCCATGTTTTGCCCCGTTCATTTTTGAAGGTCTGATCTCTCTGACTGCTGATCCCTCTGACTTAAAGCCGGTGCACATCCTGAGAGACACTGGAGGTGCCCAATCAATCATCCTCTCAAATGTTTTACCTTTCTCATCTGAGAGTGCTTGTGGTTACAACACTGTTCTGAGGGGAATAGAGATGGGCTACGCTCCTAGACCAGTCCATAGAGTGTACATAAAATCAAAGCTGGTCACAGGATTTTACCCAGTGGCTGTCTGCCCAGATTTACCCATAGGTGGGGTGGCTTTGTTAATGGGGAATGACATTGCTGGAGGTTTAGTACTTCCCAGTCTGGAGGTTTTAGATAATCCCTTAGGTCAGACAACCCCAGACCCTTCAGACCCTGGGCTGTACCCAGCCTGTGTGGTCACCCGTGCCCAGGCACGCAAGCACCCTGAGATTTCCATTTCTGACTCCGTTTTGATGTCTCCATTTTCCAGTGAGGATGATACACAAACCACAAGTAACAACATGCCGTTACTTCCAGATTCGATGGTGCTGGAGGAGCCTAATCCACTCTGGGAGAAAGCGTCTATCCCAATGACCAGACAACATTTGTCATCTGCTCAACAAGCTGATGAAACGTTACAAAGATGTTTCAAGAATGTGGTAAGTGCTGAGCAAGCCAATAAGAGAAACAAGCATATATGGTGGAACAGGGTGTCTTAATGCGTCAATGGTCTCCATCAGGTGCAGGAGGTTCGGACTGGAGTAAAGTTAAACAGATCGTTATGCCCACCACATATAGACAGAAAGTTCTATCCCTGGCTCATGAAAGTCAGTGGTCCGGTCACTTAGGTGTGACCAAAACATACCAGCTTCTGTTAAAGCACTTTTTCTGGCCTGGTATGAAACGTGATGTTTCCAAATTCTGTCGTAGTTGTCATGTGTGCCAAATTACTGGTAAACCAAATCAAGTAATACCATCCGTTCCATTATGCCCAATTCCAGTGATAGACCAACCATTTGACCGTGTCATAGTAGACTATGTGGGACCTTTACCCAGAACAAAGATTGGAAATCAATATTTGCTCACAATTATGTGTGCTGCAACGCGATTCCCAGAAGCCATCCCATTGAATAAGATTACAGCCAAATCTGTGGTTAAAGCTCTGACAAAGTTCTTTTCTGTGTTTGGTTTACCTAAAACTCTACAAACAGATCAAGGAACAAATTTTCAGTCAAAACTGTTCAAACAGGTGGCTAAAAGCTTAAACATTAAGCATGTTGTTTCATCTGCTTACCACCCAGAGTCCCAAGGCGCTTTAGAACGCTGGCATCAGACCTTGAAATCAATGCTACGCAAGTACTGCTTGGAAACTGACAAAAGTTGGGATGAGGGGGTTCCATTTGTATTATTTGCTGCTAGAGAGGCTGTTCAGGATCCCTTGGGTTCAGTCCAGCGGAATTAGTATTTTGGACACACACCCCGTGGCCCTTTAAGAGCTTTAAAAGAAACTTTCTTAGTTCCTGCAGAAGGTACTAAGAAGAGGGTGACGAAGTATGTGCAAGACTTTCGTGCGCGCCTGTCTCAAGCTAATGCTCTAGCTCAGAAGCATCTAGTTGACTCTCAAAGAAAAATGAAACATCACCATGATAAAACATCTGTCAAAAGAGTTTTTCAAGTAGGAGATCAGGTTGTTTGTCCTCCTACCTGTTCTTGGCTCAGCCTTGTCTGCCAAATTTGATGGCCCTTATGACATCCTAGACAAAGTAGGGGAAAATGATTATATCATTGGCACCCCTAATCTGCGGCGCAAAACCCGTATTTGCCATGTAAACATGCTTAAATTGTACCATTTTCGACCTGCACCACAACCTACTGAGGTGTATGCTCCAGTTGCGGTCACAACGCAGCTAGAAGTAGATGAGCTAAACATTCCCGACGGATTAAGAATGAATTATCCCATCTGTTCTAGTCCCCGCCTTACAAACTCAGAGATGCTAAAATCTCTGCAAAGCCAGCTTGAACACTTGTCCCCTGAACATCAAAAGGATATAACGGTCTTAATTGATAAGTACACATGCTTATTCAATGATGTACCAACAGTTACAACAGTCCTAGAACATGACATAGATGTTCAGAATGCAAAACCAATCAAACATCCTTATCGGGCTAATCCCACAAAACGTTCTCTAATGAAACAGGAAACTGAATACCTGCTGGAACATGGTTTAGCTAAGCCAAGTCAGAGTCCCTGGAGCTCACCATATTTGTTAGAAACCAAGTCAGATGGTTCACCACGTTTTATCACTGACTTTCGTAAGGTAAATTCTGTACCTGATGCCTATCCTCTCCCCAGAATTGAGGACTGTGTGGACAATATTGGAGCCGCAAAATATGTCACAAAGTTAGACCTTCTCAAGGGTTATTGGCAAGTCCCTTTGACTGAAAGGGCTTCCAAC